TAACTACAAGCAACTACCGACAACTACTAAAAACTACCAGTAACTACCACTAACTACCGAAAACTACAAGTAACTACCACCAACTACTAGTAACTACCAGCAACTACTAGTAACTACCAGTAAATACTAGTAACTACTAGTAACTACCGACAACTACTAGTAACTACCGATAACTACCACTAACTACCAGTAACTACAACTAATTACCAATAAATACCACCAACTACCAGTAACTACTAGTAACTACCGATAACTACCGACAACTACTAGTAACTACCAGTAACTACTAGTAATTACCGACAACTACTACTAACTACCAGTAAATACTAGCAACTACTAGAAACTACCGACAACTAGTAGTAACTACCAGTAACTACTAGTGACTACCGACGACTACTAGCAACTACCAGTAACTACTAGTAATTACCTACAACTACCATCAACTACCAGTAACTACTAGTAACTACCGATAACTACTAGGAACTACTAGTAACTACCAGTAACTACTAGTAACTACCGACAACTACTAGTAACTACCGACAACTACTAGTAACTACCTGTAACTACTAATAACTACCACTAGCTACTAGTAACTACCAATAAATACCACCAACTACCAGTAACTACTAATAACTACTGATAACTACTAGGAACTACCAGTAATTACTAGTAACTACCGACAACTACTAGTAACTACCAGTAACTACTAATAACTACCACTAACTACTAGTAACTACCAATAAATACCACCAACTACCAGTAACTACTAGTAACTACTGATAACTACTAGGAACTACTAGTAACTACCAGTAGCTACTAATAACTACTAGTAACTACCGACAACTACTTGTAACTACCAGTAACTACTAATAACTACCAGTAACTACTAGTAACTACCAGGAACTACTAATAACTACCAGTAACTACTAGTAACTACCGACAACTACTAGTAACTACCAGTAACTACTAATAACTACCACTAACTACTAGTAACTACTAGTAAATACAAGTAACTACTAGTAACTACCAGGAACTACTTATAACTACCAGTAACTACTAATAACTACTAGTAACTACCGACAACTACTAGTAACTACCAGTAACTACTAATAACTACCAGTAACTACTAATAACTACCAGTAACTACTAGTAACTACCAGGAACTACTAGTAACTACCGACAACTGCTAGTAACTACCAGTAACTACTAATAACTACCAGTAACTACTAGTAACTACCAGGAACTACTAATAACTACCAGTAACTACTAGTAACTACTAGTAACTACCGACAAATACTAGTAACTACCAGTAACTACTAATAACTACCATTAACTACTAATAACTACTAGTAACTACTAGTAACTACCGACAACTACTAGTAACTACCAGTAACTACTAATAACTAGCAGTAACTACTGGTAACTACCAGGAACTACTAATAACTACCAGTAACTACTAGTAACTACCGACAACTGCTAGTAACTACCAGTAACTACTAATAACTACCAGTAACTACTCGTAACTACCAGGAACTACTAATAACTACCAGTAACTACTAGTAACTACTAGTAACTACCGACAACTGCTAGTAACTATCAGTAACTACTAATAACTACCACTAACTACTAGTAAATACAAGTAACTACTAGTAACTACCGGGAACTACTAATAACTACCAGTAACTACTAATCACTACTAGTAACTACCGACAACTACTAGTAACTACCAGTAACTACTAATAACTACCAGTAACTACTAGTAACTACCAGGAACTACTAATAACTACCAGTAACTACTAGTAACTACCGACAAATACTAGTAACTACCAGTAACTACTAATAACTACCATTAACTACTAATAACTACTAGTAACTACTGGTAAGTACTAGTAACTACCGACAACTACTAGTAACTACCAGTAACTACTAATAACTACCATTAACTAGTAGTAACTACTAGTAACTACCACTAGCTATTGGGGAAAAGACACAATACTACATACTACACAGAGTGTATATTACCGGTGCACTTGTGGCTTTCCACCATGAAGTATATACCGTGCTACGGTTCGGAACGCGGATGTCGACGAAGGAAATCGCAAAACGGCGGATTTTACTTGTTTTTTTTTTCTGCGTGAAAATCGACGATCTGCGAGCAAAGGTTTCTTTCTGGCATGACTTAACAGTGGCAAAAAACAGTTTGTTGGTCGCTCAATATCGGTGTTTTTAACTTTTAACATTTTACTTTGCACTGTATATTTGTGTTGGACGTGGCTGCATTGCAGTTGTTGGTCGCTCAATATTGGTGCTTTTTCTAACTATTTAACTGTTAACCAGTTTTATTTGTTTGTTTTTATGCCTACAACACTCTCATTTACACACACCCTCCCTCCCCACCTTACCCACTATTTAGTGGAGACTTGGGAACCCTTTCATTAGGGATTCCATACCACACCTGTAATGCCACAAAGGTTGCTAGAGAAACTACTGTTTTTTTTTTTTTCAAAGCTATGGTGGGTACCTAACAGTAGGGGTACCATTTTGGGTACTAGTCAACTCTTTGAATGGTTTATGGTGTTCACATACTTCAATTCACTCCACTTTATATTTTATTTTCAACTAATCTTCCTATTAATTTTTTCAGCACAAACTACATATTAACTCAGACATAGTTTAATCATTATCTCCCACAATTCACACCACTTACATATTTTTACTATCTCCTCCCACACTGGCACTTCATATAGTTTTCACTAGTTCTTTATTATTATAATTATTTTTTAATTGGCTTTTATTTATTTTTCAATATATATGTATTTTGTTCTCTAATCTATTTACTCTACTTTGTTTAGATTAATTTTATTTGACCTATACAGGAGATCGAGATAGATTATTTTGAGCAATAAAATGTGGAGTCTATCAAGTACAACTTTTCTTTTGCATCTTCTCTCAGTCTTTTTCTATTTCTTCAATTTCCTTCTTTCCTGGACTCGACATGGGAATGTCGGGCATATGACCTGGTACCGGGTTAGAAACATTCCTGCTCAGTTGTGCTATGCCCCTGATGATTCACAACTTTTTAGAGCCTAGGTGTCGATGCATCCCTTGTCCCAATATACCCGGGTCTCTTAGCCTTCTCTTTCCTACTCTTCCATGTTTTCTTTTATCTGCAAATTACCTTTTTCTACTTCCTGGAATGTTACACTAAAAAGTTTCAAGAACGAAGTAATTCGGGATGGGTATTCTTGTTGTTGTTGCTGTTGTTGTTTTATTTCTTTTCTCACTTCCTCTTTTTATTGTAGGTGTTTTTTTTGTTTTGTTTTTTTTTGTCTTTTTTTTTGTTTTGTTTTGTTTTGTTTTTTTTACTTGAGTCACCCTGTTCTTTTTTAACACCCTCCTTTAATTAGAACAGCTGCAAAATTTTTTTTTCCTTACTCTCAATGTTCTAAAGAACGAAATAATATTATAGATCATCATATTTTGTGGTTAGCAATTTATCTTCTTTAATAACAATTTTTAAAGAGGGTTTAAACCCCTCCCCTTTCTTTCTTTCTTTTTTTTTTCCCCCGCCCATTTCCTTTTTCATTTAACTGGGATAAATTCATCCCCATGCTCCTCCCATTTTCCACTAGAACAGAAACTGGCTTTTTAGCCACTTTCAAAGTTTTAAGAACGAAATAACATTATAGATAATTATATTTTCTGGTTGGCAGTTTATTTATTTATTTATCTATTTTTTTAAAAAAAGTCATGTTTAAGTAGGGTAACCCCCTTTTTTCATCCATTTTCGGTTTCATTCAGCTGGGATAAGTTCGTCCCCAGACTCCTCTCATTTTGTACGTCATCATGCTGACGATTAACTATGGCGTGAGCAGCAAAAAAATTGTTTTTGCTACTTTTTGTGGGCCACATCCATGAGAAGAGGAATTTTTGTCTACTAGCTGAGGAGCTTCCAAGTTTTTTTGCTCGCTAATTGGTCTGCTACAGAGGCTATCTGAAGTATGTTAGAGTAAGTAATGATTTACTTTTTTTTCCAAGACCTTTCAGTACTTTCATGTGTCAATGCTGCAGGCATCTTGCTACGGTGTTATAGCTAATGGATCTATTTGCCCTAGAAACCTGTTTCCCTCGTTTCAAGGTGCTTAACTTTATATTATATTATATATTAACCCTTCAGTTCCTTTTGTTTTATTTTGCACTGTGTATTGTGTTGGACGTGGCTGCATTGCAGTTTTTTGGTCGCTCAATATCGGTGTTTTTAACTTTTAACATTTTACTTTGCACTGTATATTTGTGTTGGACGTGGCTGCATTGCAGTTGTTGGTCGCTCAATATTGGTGCTTTTTCTAACTATTTAACTGTTAACCAATTTTATTTGTTTTTATGCCTACAACACTCTCATTTACACACACCCTCCCTCCCCACCTTACCCACTATTTAGTGGAGACTTGGGAACCCTTTCATTAGGGATTCCATACCACACCTGTAATGCCACAAAGGTTGCTAGAGAAACTACTGTTTTTTTGTTTTTGTTTTTTTTTTCAAAATTAACCAATCATAAAGCGACTACTCGCCATTCGCCACTTTACGGAACTGGAGCCGAAAAGCGTCCCGCAATTGCTTCTGGGATCGTTACTGCGGACGCTCGGCCCATTTTTCCCCGTCTCTAGTAACAGTCCCAGAAGTCTTAGCGAAATTTAACTCGGTCCAGTTTACTTGGCGCTTTTAAAGTGGCGAATAATTTCAGCTGTAATACGCACAAAGCTGCATGTAGGCTCAACTTGTTCGAAGTTTTGTCCAACTTTGTTTGCTCGTTCAGTTATACTCCATGTTGTGTGTGACAAACATGTTGGACAAAAATATGAGCAAAATGATTCAAAATACAAATTGGAGCACTCGAGAGTTGAACAGGGCCAGTTTAAAATGACCACAACTGAAAAAACAACGCACGACTACCAATGGCAACATTTACTTGTTCAAGAATCCTAGAAATTAACAAATTCACGAGAACATGCTTCCCGTGTGTAAAAACTAGCAAAAATACATAAATATTACACGAAGATACCACAATAAAGGAGCAAAGAGGAGAGTAGCTTAGCAACAGGTCATATCTCAAGCCGCGATGCGATGAGACAATCCACGCTTGGCGCCCACAGAATGGCGTTTACCAAATCAATAAAAGTAACCAGTTCCTTTGTTTTGACAAGTTGAAACTTCACTGCACATTTTAATCGCGTTCCGTTTGTCTGATCAGCCGCTCTCAGTAAAAAAGGAAGTAATACTATATATATATAATTTTTTATCTTCGTGCGGTTCGTTCAATTTGGAAGCAGCTGCTGATTTCAAATCCCATCCCGTCCTGCAAGCAGTTTGGTCAGCGGCTGGCGGCTGCTCTTACGCCAAGTAAGCGTAAGTGTCTTTCTCTCCCTCCACTCGCTCAAGATATTCTTTTTCGATTAAGATATCAATACATTTCTGAAGAACAAAAACCAAACAAAAGAAGAGTCACTAAGTATCTCACGCGACGGATCATTGAAATCACGCACCTCGTGTACTGCACTGCACTCCACAAAACCAGATAAAGGCATTGTGCACATTAGTCGCATTCACGTTTGTGAACACATGCAGGGTAGCAAAAGCAACGGGGACGGCGACGGCAACGAAAACATCAAAAAACAGAAATTTTACACGTGCAGCATACTTTGTGGTACATTAATCTGCCGTCAATGCACGAACACGTCGTAAAATTTCCTTATGCGAGGTCTTCTGGAGAACATAAACACACTAAGGCGAATTTCTTCTCTCTCTTTCTACACTTGAGTGCGGTCCCCAAGAATTCAACTCAAGGAAAATTCGCTTACATTTGTCATTTTCAGCGAATCGGAATAATTAATGTAACAGAGTTTGAAAAAACGCGAATTCATTTTGTGACATTTTTGTTGCCGTCGCCGTCGCCGTCGCCGTCGTCGATGCTAAAGCTCCCTATTCACATGTACGGCTTCTGTCCAAAAAGGACCGATACAAACGGATATTTTCGTCAATGGTCTTCAGAATAAGATCATAATTAAATGAAATCGCAAAAAATATCGCTCAAATCTGGACAGCCGTAATACCTAAGCCTGTAAACGTTTACAGACTTCGACGGCACATGGCCTAAACGTCCCGAGGCTGCAATATTGCGCACAATTACTAAATTGCATCGTGTGTCCACTGCTGATAATGTTTTGCGTTATGTTGCTTTAGATTACAGGAAGTACAGGAAATAAATTCCACCTTATGTCCGACATCTATAACAATTTGTGTAATGGTGTGACTCAACTTTCAATCTTTAGCAAATCAGTACACTCGAATTAAGCCGCTCGTCCTACAGAGCCGTTCATTGATCGTTACTCAACGCTCCCATACAAACAACGGCAGCGTAGGAGCCAATCTTCTGCTGCTCATTTCTTTTCAGTGTGCTATTATTTCTTCTTTTACCTCGTACCCCTGAGTTTATAACTGTTTGGGAGATCAAGGCAATGTATTTTTTGTAAAAAAAAAAGGCCGTTGTTAGAAATATCGTGCGTCATACGCCTGCAAGCAGCTTAGCATGTTGAGGGTAATATTGAACGAAATGTGCCTGCAACATATTGCACGCAATGCTCCTGCATCAATGTTATTTCGTGTTTTGAACGAACAAACGCGCGCACGCACGCGCGCACGCAAGCGCACACGAATGAATGAATAAACAAAGCTGTACCTTAATGACAGGAACTCTAGGTTTGAATCTGCTTGACAGCTGTGATAGAACCTCCGCCAGCAGAGGTTGGTGTTTTAACATCTTTCTCATTTTCATGATCCGCACGATCGCGGCCTGTAAGTCAACAAAGTGAAACTAAGCTTTCAGCTTACAGCTCAAAATAATGACACCATTCCAAGAGGTTTCCTCACCAAAAATCCTCGCTGAGTTCTCCTCTTGACAGCTTTAAGTTCTAACGCTGTAGCAAAATGCACGTTCCGGGACTGAGCCCCTTAGTAGTTTTTTCAGTAGTCCACAGTCTGTCTAGCTTGCGTACATATCGCGGATTTCTGAATGTCTCCGACGCCCGGTAATAGTTGTCGAATTTACTCTTACTAGAGACCTTTAGATTCGAGGACGAGATTTAACACGAGACTTAACGTATTCTCAAAAAGTCAACCCCCGGAAAGCTTCATAGCGGTTTTTTTCACCAGAAAAGTTAGCACAGTCCTTTTTATTGAAGGAGGTTAAGCCCTCTCCCGAACGCAAACTGATGAAATCTCCTAACATTTGATAACTGACAAAACTTGTCTCCGCCTCTACGACATTTTCGTTAACACTCGTAGTAGAATGACGACGGCTATCATGTTTTCGCGCCAAAATGACGCTAGTTCACGTGCGCAATACTCCATATAGAGAAAATCTCGTACTCGTAGTCGTTCTCGTCTGAGAATCTAAAGGTTTCTTTTTCAACAACAACAACAACAACAACAACAACGAAAAACTCTTTCAGGACTACTTAAGCATCTCACCTGTATAAGAAGTTTTCTGTCCTCTTCAATGTATTTATGTGTTTGTTCTTGTTCTTGTTTCTGCTCCGTTTTCATTGGCACGTTGATATTTACTCTCAGTTTCTTACTGCACAGTAAATAAACAAGCCACAGGATCAGGAAATATAATATCCGCCGGGTTAGACAGCCAGCCATTTATTACGGAGAATAAGAACATGATTTTCAACAAAAATAAAGTGTTTTGACTATTATGAAGCCCGGTTATTTGAAAGGCTTCAGAAGAAGCCGACGTAAAGGTTGCTAGGATCACCAATGACTGGTAAACCCAACTTTTGGTCGGATACTTAACTTAAGAGCTGTTGCCCCTGGTTCGCTTCCCAGGCGAACCAACACTCAGGGTCGTAAATAACTGGGGACAAAGCCCTTCCTTTACTGGTATCTACAAATAGCCTTTACGGATAGCGACGAATAACCGTAGGCCCTGTCAATAGCGTGCGAACAAGCTTTTCACTTCGAGTGGCGAGCAATGCGAGCAGCGAGAAAACGCGCGAACGTCCCCTTGCGGGTTCTGCTCACGCGTGGCCTCTCGCGATCTGGTCTCACATCACTTTCACTTTTCTAGCTCTTGTGTGACGTCATACAATCTGGAAGTGACTTCTACTAGTTTCTACTTAACTTTGTGTCAACTGCTATCATTTGATTATATTTGTAAACGAGCGAAGAAGATTTGTGTTCCACTCACTTTTTGTATCCAAGGTAAAGACTAACTGAAGATTGTTGATCTAGGTTGGAGCCGTCTTCAGATGTACCGCAGACCTAATAGAAATACAATAGTCACAGTTGGTTAGAGACAGTTTTTGGGCAATTAATTTTACTTTTCAGTCTTTTCCTCCAATAAATCCTCGCTATTCCTAATTTGTTCTTGAGTGGATAGGGTGTTACACGTAAATCCGCTGGTTGCAAGGTTCAAGTTACTCGATTGGGCGTCCAAATTTTCCCCACTATTAAGTGAGGGGGATTTTACAGATCAATGACAGGCAAACAAGCTAGAACCTCTCTCCCCAACACCCCAGTTAAAGTTGGTATGATAAAACTGTTAAAAACGCAATTACTCACGAGAAGTTTCGACTTCAACAGGATTCCAAGAACTTGCAAAAGAATATCCTGCAAACAAGTTACAAGAATATAGTAGGTGATTAAAGCTCAGGAGTATCGCAATATTAGGACTAAGAACTATACTAGCGTTGAAACGGTGTGAAACGACTGATGAAAGACAAAACACTGACATCAGTTTCCCTGGATTTTCAAGCGTTCAGTTTCCTATCGGCTCAATCTGGACTCGGGGTGGTAGGAAGGGAACTACACTCTACCCCTACCCCTCGATTTGATAGTTCGCTCGTGGGTCGGTAAATCGGCGCCAATTATTCCTGGTCGACTTGCTTACCCCTGTGACAATACGGGGGTGGGGGGATGCTAGTGGTCTACTGATGGGACCAGTTCATGGTTAGGTGTCTTTCAAATGGAGTCCGAGAAACAGACCAAAGGAATTACAGTAAGAAAAACCCCAGGTTGTTAGTCGAGGAGGTGAGGGGTGGGAGGCTGTTAGGGGAAAGGAAGGCAAGAGGGGAAAGGGGGCGAGGTGGAAATACTAAAGGGGTGGGAAGTGGAAGAAATAGAGGGAAAATAGGCAACAATGCTTCAAGGCTAAAGGGAAGAATCCAAGAAAAAAGGGGCAGTAACCGGGAATGCAAGCGACGGGAGGGGGGAGGTTTGGACTCCCCCGCCCCAATCCTTTTCTAGGGAAGTGTCTGTCTGACAGCCGAGCCTGTCATGAAATGTTAATATAAGCAAGCAACAACCAACACAGGACGCCCACCGTTTTAAGCTGTGTCTGCTCCTGAATCTGCTCCAGGGTGAGACTGTCAGAATTATTGAACATCAGAAGAACACCCATCTGGTAGGTGGATGCCTAGAACAAAACAAACATCGACGCAAACCGTTTGTTATCTTTTCTTTGAATTCCAAAGGTAATGGACCAGTTTTTGTTATTTCGGATTATATTTAGGCAATGAAACTGTTTCCTGTCGTCTGCTGCAACGGATAAAAATGATGGACATGGATTGAACCATGAACAAGTTGAAAGTTTTAATGCTATACCTCCAAAAATCACCAAAAAATTACAATGGTTAGTGCTCCCTGATAAAGTTTGTTTGATATGTTCTTCATAACTTTACAGGAGCATTTTGTGTATGGATAAAGGCACCAAGTAATGACTTCAGCACAGAATTGAGCTAAAACAGCAATATTCTCATGACAAAGCCTCTTTAAGAACTCGAAACAACAAAAAGATTAAGCAAAGATAATACCACGCGAAATGAGGACACAATAGCATCAAGACAAAAAGCCACGGTATCATTACTCACCTGGAGAGTATAGCGATTCTTGAAACAGTTGGTCACCAGTTCACCCTGAAGATAAAAAGAAAGCACGCAAGTTAATTAACAGAGCTTGTTGATTCTTTTCGCAACAGTGTGGTGGAGTGTCTAGGGGGTCAAAGTTGAAAGGTACAAGTTACTTCTCCACCTGCGGCAGCGGCGATTCAACACGTATAGATTGAATCGACTTGTCTTAAAACGTGTGGGAAATTTACTTTCCAGTATTTTACATAGTTTTAGAGGAAGTGTATTGTTTACCTTGGACATGTGGTAAAGCCAATGAAGTTTGCGACCACTGTGTTGACTGCTGTAGAATGTTGTGAAACGCTGATGACTTCTTTCCATCTGAAGCAAAAACCAAAAAAGGCCCATTAGCGAGACATTTGAGGAGACTTTGTACTAACACCTCCGGTCACAATATAAAATACCCCTTTAAATCAAAATTTTAGCGACAAAAATTGAGCAAATACACCCAGTGTACATCAAATTAGATTCCATTTCAATACAGGGAGGCCGAAAACCTCAACCGCGAAAAAAACACTTTACTCGTTTGGCAATGGTCATATGTAAGTTTTGATACTACAAAGAACTATCAACTTAATTCCATCTAACTTTGAAATCTGTGGCCGAAATCCTGAGTTGTTACCATTCAAATGAAACCTCTCTATTATTTTCTTAGTGAAGTTTTTCTTTTTAAGGGTGAAAGTTTTAAACAGTAAAAATATCTGTACCTCGGCTGGTAACGAGAATGGTGCTGATTGCTGAAAGGGCCAGGATCCTGAACTTAGAACCTGGATTGAAAAGTCCACTAAGACGAAACACAAAAGCAAAAAATTAAAGAGCAGCAGCAGTAGCAACGACAACAAAAGAAAATAGGGAAAATAATAACGGGCACAAGCTGAGAAAGACGAGACAACTCACAATCTAAGGCTCCCGTATTCGTTAGATGACTCTTGAATTTGTCGTTGAGGTCTTTACTAACACCTATGTCTTGGAACATTCTTTGAAGTTTGGATGTGTACTCAAAACCACACGCTTGCTGTAAAGGAAGGGAAAAAAAACACTCCGACCTTTAGCAGGGTCATCAATCAACAACAAAGACAACAAGACAAGTAAAAATGAAACAAATATCCTTATTTTTAAAACGCCACAAACGTCTATAACTAAAGATGACAAGAAATTGTAGAAACATGGCATCACCACATTGAAGTTAATCCATGACAGTCTTGGATTCCGGATTTCAGATACTGGTATCCGGATTTCTTATCAGTGGAACTTAAATCGTGGATTCCAATGGTTAGCGGGATTCCAGACTCCTTGAGCTGGATTACGGATTCCAAAGCCCGGGATTCGCGATTCCAGAAGCAAAACGTTCCCGGATTCTGGGTTCCAAAAGTAAAGAGTTCTCGGATTCCAGAATCCGGAATACTTAGCATGGGCGCATGGCATGAATATAGCTTTTGCTCACTTGAAAATGTTGCATGTAATATTCTTTCATTTTACCTTGAGTTTAGATATCATGCTAGCTTCTGCATCATCTGATGCGGAGTTGTGTTGCACCAGTCTCTTTGCCAACATTTTGGAATAAAACTTCTGGAAGACATCTTTGTCTTCAATGTACTTGAACACAACCATCTGCACAAACAAAAAGATAAAACAACAATTAGAGGTGATAAAGAATCAACTCATAAAGTAATTTTACAACAAGAGTCTACAGATTACAAATGACTCAAATATAGTCTGCGCAGCAAGCGTTTCCGTTTGGTTTCAGAGCAAAGAAAGACAGAGGAACGGGATTTTCGGTTTTGGCCGCGCGAGAAATGAAACGAGAGCCAAAAAATGAAAGAGGGGGGATGGGGAGGGGAAGCGAACGGAGGGCCCGATTAATTCAGCTAGTCGAACAATGTACAGTCTGAGAGCCAAACAACAACACTAGGTTGTTTGTTTTCCCTTATCTGATGTTTCGGAAGCCCATTCTGCGCCAAAGCATTGAACGGAAGCCTGCCTACTGGTGGAGGATAAAACTGACAGATGAAGTGAAGATGACTTCAAGTTTCGTCCTTCCTGCGACAGTGTCAAAAGGACGTATACAAGTCGATCTTCACGCAACTCGATGACACGAAAAAGCTTCATAAGTGAATACTTCCTCCCTCCTTCTCCTCATGTTCCCTTCAAATAGTTTCTCCTTCCAGACTAAACCGAACCCATGTATGGAATTCAGAAAAAATTGAGCATGTGGAGCCTGCAATCCTGATAATATGAATTGACAAAGTTTCGTCCACTCGTTTGGACCTCTGGTAAAAATTCACCTTCAAAAATTAGGGGTGGTCCACGGAGGGAGTCCATGGACCGGGTCCAGAAAGAGGTTCATGGACTAGGTCCACAGTGGTGGCCCATGGACCGGGGGTCCATGTTTTGTATACGTCCGTTCCAAAAATATACCCCAAGTTGAACGAGGGTAAAAAAGAAATAAATGTAAACAATAAGCCGCTTTGTAGAGGTCTGTTACTTTCATTTGCTCAAAGGAACAAAGTTAGGGCCTGAAAATGTTATAAACAGTCCGCTGCATCTCTTTACATCGTAAACGTAAGGACGAGGCGATAGTAATTACCGGCAGCATTTGTCGCAAAACTTTCAGCGATCTTCATCAAGTACTTACCACTGAATTAAGAATGTCTTCTAGTTCAGCTTCCTCTGGATTCTTTGAGCTTAAATAACATAGAAAAGTAACAATAAACACATTTTACCCGCAACCCTTGCACACCCACGGAGGCAGACAAAAATTTGAACTGCCCCTAGACTTTGAGACACGGCACAATAATGTACCCTAGCAGAATGTGAAAAATTATCTCAAGACCAAGCATACCACACATTTAGCTGCCACAAAGATCAAAAACCATATATTCGTATATTGAATCTGTATTTAACCTGTATTTAAGATTTTTCTTAAAATGGAAAAGGACGCAAATAAAAATTGAAACACTACTTTACATGTGTGCAAGTTGAAAACAGTCGCATGCAGTCTCTTCCTTTGACTTCAACTATATATTTTTTACCCGGGTCAATATCTGCGTGTTATAGTTTGGTGCACCACTTATGGTGTGCTAGAAGGTTTCCGACACATTAATTAAGATATTAGAGAGGTTAAGCATCACGTTTACGTCAAATGGCAAACGCGAATTTATACCATGTGACCAAGCTTCCTCTTTACTTGTCGTTTACTGTTCATTATTTCTACACCTAAATTAGTTGTTTCACGCAATTTTTTATCCATAAGAATTGTTTTGAGCTGTTTTTATCTGCTCATTTTCTATTTGGAGAAATTCTCAACTAAAGTCTGACGTTTGCGTTTGCGTATACTTGAAGCTTAAACTCTCTATTAACCCTTTAAGTCCCAATAGTGACCAACAGAGTTAATAAAATGATCACTTAAGAGAAAATGCTTTGATCTTCTACCAAATTCTCTCAACTTATTCCTTAAGGAAATGTATAGAGATCAGTTTGGAGAATTTGTATGTGGATATTGGGGCTTAAAGGGTTAACTGATTGATGGATAGATGGATTGGAATGGCCGAGCCTTACAGTATCCTGGGATAAGAAGATGAAATTTTCTATATTGAAAATTTAAGCACACCTTTTCTTAAGCAAGGAATCACAGTATCTTGCTAGTAATTCTGGAGACTTTGAAGAACTTTGTGCTTGTTTAGTGACAAAGTTATTATTTATGAACTTGCCACAAGCCTGTAAAAATACAGAATAAACATAATTATTTTAATAAAAGACAACAGATTCAGCTAGTTTAAACCATCCTTTTAAATGGGAATTATCTGGATGGACATGTGAACAATATTGCACTGGTAGTTTTGTAGCCAAAAAGCAAACTGACCTTGTCTAAAGCAGCTACAAATCCTGCATCATTGTTGAAAGCCGTCAGAACCAGAGCATTGTACTTGTGATGAACTTCTAGTATTGTTTCCACATACACCTTAGGGTCCTGGAGGATTACATAAACATGGCATTTACCAGTTGCGATGTTGTATTGAAATGTTGAATAGCAGAGCATTCACCTCACTAATCATCATCATCACCATCATTAACACTACAATAATAATAATAATAATAATAATAATAATAATAATAATAATAATAATAATAATAATAATAATAATAATAATAAATTATTATTATTATTATTATTATCATTTTTAATATTATGAAATGCTTCAACCCATGAGTCATTTCAGAAGTAGGTTGAGCATGATCGTCCGGTTGAATGTAGTCCTGAATAGGACTTTTGTTGTTGATAGTGACTGATGTTTCAACAACCTGTGCGGTAGTCATCTTCAGAGTCTAAGTGAGTTGCATCATGTCAGTTGATGGTATTATACTCTGGTTATTGCCTTGATTGGTCAATTAAGTCATGATGTTATTGGTTGTCTGTAAGTTAAACTGTGATTTTATTGGCCATGAAGAGTCGAAATCAAATTGGTGCGTTCTGATCCAACTTTTTTTTCACCTCAAAATTACTGTCTGCAGAGACTTGATGGTAATAAACCTTTTTACCGATACGGCGGCCATATTGAATTAATTTGATTTAAGGATTATTATAGGATGCCCAGGGGGGCATGAGCACATTTCGTTTGTATTTTCAAGCGCTTTTCGGGACATTTTTTCTTAAAGTTAAGATTGTAATGGGAAAAAGATCCGTGTACTGTGTTTGGATGTAATAATGATCGCCTTTTTCTAGTTTAGTATTAGAAACATAATCTTTCACTGTATATTTCTTGGGAAAAAGGCGATCATTATTACATCCAAACATGGCACAAAGATCTGTTTTCCCATTACAAACTTATTCTAAGAAAACTTTAAGAAAAAATGTCCCGAAAGGCGCTTGAAAATACAAACGAAATGTGCTCATGCCCCCCTGGGCATCCTATAATACTCCTTAAATCGAATTAATTCAATATGGCCGCCGTATTGGTAAAAAGGTCTATTCTCTAAAGTTAATATACATGCAACTGTAAATGGTAATTACAAAAATACAGTAGCACAATATTGAATATACACTAACATTGAAAGCTTGATCTCCACATTTTTCTAGTGCATTAAGTCCCTGACTTGTGATGTGGTTTTCTAATAGCGTTCGAAGCTGCCCTAATCCATCAGGTATCCTGGCAACTAAGTTGTACATGCGTCCAAGATCTAAAAATAACCATAAAACAGACCAATCAGAGACAATAGAGATATATTTTAGCCATGAATTTAAAAAGCAATGCTTTTCCAAATACATAGCCTGTGTGCAGTTGTCTCCTTTTTCCTTTGTTGCTAATGGCTACCAAAAACTTTCAAAACAAAAATTTACCGTCTACTAGCAATAATTTTGATATCAAACCTTTGCATTCCCTTATCCTTCTGTAAGAAATTGGCTGAAAAGGTGTCATTACTGGACCCAACCCACAGATAGCACTGAAAAATTAACCCCAGTGTGTAAACCAATCCCTTGTTGTAAAAATGGGCAGCTAAGTCCTACCTCTTACGGGAGACCAACTTGAGTAACACAAATAAAAGTGTTACAACTCTTTTGAGAAGCCCAGATTAATACAACAGATTAAAATACATAGTATTCAGTTAGAGTTCATTTCCACAAACCTTCATTTTTGTCATCATCTAAAAGGTTTTGGAATTCAGCATAGAAGATGTCTAAATGTTTCTCAATCAGAACTTGCTCACATTTTCTGGCAAGCTAAAAAGAGGAATTAAGATCAACCAGATTGACTTTGACACTGCATGATCAAAAAACAATACATGCACAAATTCATAACAGTGGTCAATGTAGTTTTCTGAATAACCTTCTGATGACCTGCATATCCAAATGGATAACATACCTCATCTTGTGTACTTTCATGTAAATAGACTTGAACTCTTCTTTGCTCTTCTAACAAACGAGCTTCAGCCTAACAAAAAATCGTTAGATACTTTAAATTTCTGAAATACAGAGTCATCAACAAAATCAATCAGGTTTACATCAATGACATGAACTATAATTATTATAATTATTAATATCTGGCCACCTATCATGTACTTTATTAAAAAGTGAATCATTGGATAATGCAATTCTAGAGCTCTGATTGGCTTAGCCATCATGGTATATGTGCCATTTTACCATGCTCTCCAAATATGATAACTGTACGTGTCTGCTCAAAACAGGCTGAAAATCAGCGGTTTATACAAATAAAGTCGGGAAGAATTCTCAATACTTTGCTGGCATTTTTAATGAAACAATTATTCTACTCGCACTTGTTGGATATGAGATAATCATATAGCCAACTTGGTATTCTGGCTCCAAAAGTTTAATAACGTACTACAGTAGCGTTTAGTTTTTAATCTTTCCTTTAAATTGGGCTATAACTATATTATTGTTATGTGCTTTTGATGATATTCATATAAAATTAGTGACATTTAGCAGGATGGTACGCAAGTGTAAGGAAGGGTCATTGGTATAATTTAGAGAAACAGGAATACTCAAATTTGGGCTTAGGACCTCAGCTTTATTTTGCTATATCCAAGCCTGGGAGAAAGTTATGGATGAATCAAGGACTCGTGGAGAAATTCAAGGACTTTCAAAGATTTGTTTCATTCCAGGACATTTCCAAGACTCCTGCTAAAATTTAGGGACTTTTTATTCTATTATTATAATCATGAGAAAAAGGAAAACATTATCATACCTTTTTCATATACTCTGTAACAGGGTTTTCTCTTAGAAATTCTGTACTCTCTGTAGTGTAAAATCTTTCTGTATCATCTAAAAATACTGACTCAAAAGATGATTTGTAAACGTTTAAGGTGGGCCCTTTGGCAGAGGGATCATCCTCATTAAGGCCAAGTTCAACTGTGAAAATAAAAACAAACAGACAAAAAGTTTGTACTTGTACTATTCATCAAATTATATTGTTAAAACAAAATACAGAAGACACTGGAGATCATGCAACCACAATCCAAGGGTGCATAAAAAATGACCCTAAGTGGCTGTAATCAATTTTATTGTCCAATTCTCTGACTATTTTACAAGCATCATACTACTACATGAGAAATTTCTGCAATTTGATTGGCTTAGAGCAGTGGTATTTCAGCTTAATTTGAGATACCTACATGTGAAAATTACAAACCTTTTGCGGGTAGTAGTATAAACAAATAATAGCATGATTTGTACGTGATATTTGGCATAAATACCACTTGTGATATTTCAAAATTGTCTCAAATTTCACTTGCCTAACGGCTCGTGAAATTACATATAACAATTTCGAAATATCACTCGTGGTATTTATGTCAAATATCACTACAAATCATGCTATTACCTATACAAATACAACATAATTTGGAAGGGAAATGTGGAAGTTTATCAGGTCACTTAAAGCTCTTATTTTTCCGAGAACCTCTTCAAATACTTGAAGAACAGTAACTGTTAATTGTCGTTGCATAGTGCATAATATTCTAAGGATGACTAATTGTTTTCTTAATTGACAATTATTTTGCGTTAGAACAACCCACAGAGCAGACACACATGTATAATATTACAGTGAAACCTGTATATAATGGCCGTGTATATAGCAGTCACCTTGTATATAACGGTTACCTTGCCATTTCCCAAGCATGACCACTATTCACAGGTTAACCGTTTGACTGTATATGTATGTGCATTACTTTCCTTGCTCAGTAAGAGATTTTGCCTGCATATTTAACATTTATTTCAGCAGTCTTGCAGTCACAGCCGTCTTACAGTTTAACACCTAATTTTAAACACAAGGATGTAGCTAAGGAAAATCTAAGCAGGCTTTTTTATTTGTCAAGCTGGATTTTTCTCCAACTTCACTCTCAAAATCGCCCATGTGTTGGGTTTCCTAGAGCAATTTGAGGCAGTGATAAGCTCTATTCAGCCAGTGAAATTACATGTAGCTGACAGCTGGCTATTAGCAACATCCCTGCAAACATATATGATAGGACGTGACTTTTGCAATTCCATAGTACAGTGGAACTTCATATAACAAAGGCCCAAGGGACTGTCAAAATTTGTTTGCTATAATGAGGTTTATCGAGGTTCCACTGTATTTTGATCACATACCATAACACTGTATTACTCCACTGACGAGTCTGGTGTTGATTGTTTCACCATTTCTTTCTCTTTCAATTAACCGCAACACAGCATTTGTCACCTGCAAAAAAAAAATGAAATTGGAAAAAACAACATGATAACCACATTTACAGGCAAGTATCTAGTCAAAGGACTTTACATGTATATTTGCCTCCCCTTCTGATTAGGTATACATTCAAAAAAAGCAATAATCTCTGTTTCCAGATAAAAAGATAATTCATGAATATAAATAGTCCATGCATTGCATTTAATACAATATGCATTATTGAAAGTTTACCTGGAAATAGCGCTTATAGTTTTTTTTGTTGTTTTTCCTTCTATCATTGCTGTTGCTAATAATACAAAGGACTGAATGGAAGGTAACAAAGACCTCTGAAGCTGACTTTTGTCATGTTCTTAAGTCATTCTTGTGAAACAAAACAACCGTATAGGAAGAGTACATAATTGTAGCACTGTGTTATTTGCAGATGAATAGCTTGATAAAAGCACCAGGGATATGAAATACATGCATGCACTGTACTGATGAGCTAAAAAATTTAATCAAGACAGTAGCTCTCTTAGAACGATAGTTATAGTACCTGTCTATTAAGAGGTCTAAACAAATTCTCCCTCCAGGTCACTAAAGCAAGCTGCAAAAACAACAACATTTACGTCAACACTGCTACAGTAGATCCCCCCCAGACACAAAACAAAGGAAAAAAATGAACCATGAGAAAATAATGCTAAGGAGGTTTTCTTTAGACTGTCACACCACAGCTCCATGATGAGTTAAGTCGGAGCCTGGACTTTGCCCCAGTTTCACTGAAAAGGTTTTTAAGCCATTTGGTACACTACAACAACCTACTCTTTTAAGAAAGAGATAGTTACAATCTGAATAGTACAAATTCTACCCACAAATAGTTAAAAAACTAGTCAAGCGAAACACTAACAGTTAGTGTTTTGGTAAGTCTAAGACCCATGGCTGTGCCACATGTTTAAAGATTGATTACACAATTCCACGTTTTAATTTCCTTAACCAAAACTTTCTTCTCATAATGGTTTTATACAAACCAATACATTTAATTATTACATCAATAACAACAGGAAGCACCAACTCACAGAATAAATTTCATATATGCCCTTCCTTCCTTCATCACACTCTCGTCGCACCCAGTGTCGATTTAGATATGCACAAACCCCATTCAAAACCTTGCTTGAAAACCTGTAATCCTCCCAGCGCTGGGTATAGAACTTCAGCACTGATTCATCCATAAGGTCTGAACCATCCTGAAATGAAAATTAAATGTAAGAACGATAAAGTTTTTCAATTTTATTTTTTAGACCTTTTTAGCTTGTACGTTTTATTTTCCCAATTCAAGCCACTGATGTTCTCAAGGGACTTTGACTTTAATTTTGTCTCTTTATTTGTTAATTGCACTAATATGCACTTGGAAAGCGTGGAATTATTGATTTTGATTGACATTCCTTCTAACCAAAGAGTTCCTTAAGCTGGGGGCAGTGTGGTCATTTAATATTACTTTTACATACCAGATTGACTTTGCACAGCGCCCTCTATCATTAAGTGTTTGCCAAGAAAGAGTGTCACTTAAGACTGCAGAGCGAAAATCATAACTGACTCCTGTGAGAACTCTAGCAGTACGTGACTGGAATCTTTACAAATTATCTTTCAATAATCTGCCGTAGGTGTCCCACAAAGGAGAACAATACTTAAAATGTCGCTGAACTAAGTCCTTATAAACTGACACACTCTGTTTATACATAAAATTAGGGGTCTTAACAACAAGTGGTTTAAACACAACTTATGTATGTAATGTACATGAGTAATTATTTAAAGCCTGGCCAGGCAAACCACAAGTGAGTTTACTTACCTTTTGCATGCCTGTGAGGTAAGCCTTGAGAAATTCCTTTAGTCTTTTGTACAATTCATGACCAACAAATTGAGCCCCTGTAAAGTGAGGTTAAGTGACTGAGTCAATAGTTAGCTTAAACTTTGGATTACAGTCAAATCTCTTTGATACGGACACCAAAGGGACAGAACCAAGCATCTGTTTTACAGAGGTGTCCGTGTTATAGAGGTAGGGAATGTATGATTTTTGGCATTTCTGGGACCAAAGGAACTGTCTGTAAAAGAGACGTGTCCGTATTATAGAGGTGTCCATGAGGACAGGTTAGACTGTCCCTCACAGTAAATGTACTAACAACTCTAAGGAGGCAGTTAAAGATGGGAGTTACATTTTAGAATTGATAATAATGTGGTGGTGTAGTTCTATCTTTGGTTCAAAATCAATTTTATATTCCTTTGTTTTAAGGGGTATGGTAATGTGTTTGAAAATCACAAACATACATTGAAACTTGATGTGGCATTATAGCTTTGAAATGAGAGTGTTTGGAGAAGATATGTTCCCATCTTGGGAATAAAATGGGAGTATATTTCTACCCAACAAGCCTTTATTATTAAGCCGTAATGCCATTCCAAACTCAACATTAGATAAACTATTCTTACAGGACTTAGGTTGTTTTAATAAAAGCAAGAGAAAACTTTTTGCTGTTATTGGATAGCCTAAATATAAATGTTATACACCTAAGGTCAAAATTCAATTCAGATTATAGGTTTTTAACCTGGAATGATCCTCAATTTTCTTGTTTCAGAATAAACCTAAACTGCTCATGACCAACCCTGACAATCACTGAAAGCAACATGTTTAAACAAGAACACTGTCCAAGCAGCTTGTGGTAAAACCACTGACACTGCAACTTGATCTTAAGGTTAGAGATACCAAATTAAAGTTTACTGAGTTGCTGTCAATTTGTTTATGATTTTTTAATGTGAGAGTCTGAAACAGCTTTTGAAAGCTAAAACTCAAAGTGATTTTTGTTTTTCACTTATCTGATTATTCTAGTCTTTTTGAAGTCAAAGAGCTAAAAAAATGTGTCGCGGTGAGACACCCTAGGCCAAGTTGTTCAAAGCTGGGTTGAGATAACCCAGGGTTAGTGTGAGTTTTGAATTCATATATGAAAGCTTAAAAGGCATTTCAGTTTTAATTCTTTTTGTCTACAAGTTGATGATTGGAAACTCTAAAAATAACAGAGAAAATTATCTGAGAAAATGCTTTTGAACACCAGATGGTTAAGCACTTATCGGCCTTCAAACAACTGGGCCCTCGAAGGTATATAGCGGTAACCTTAACACAACAAATTATTGCGGAAAATTTTGCACAATTGCATTGACAATACTCACCTCCCTGGTTAGGTGCTTTCTTCTGTTTAGGAACTCTTGACTGAGACTGCTGATGAACACTAGTGCAGTAATTATATACATGTCTAGAAACCATCAAGGAACATAAAGACAATATAACCTAGCCAATGGAGGGACATATATATAGGAGACTAAAAAAAATCACAAAGCCCTTCAAATAGAGGTTCAAAACTGCACAGAAGGGAATTTTGACCCCAGTTTTTTTAACCACAAGGCGGTCAAGATGCAAGCTGCCATGTTGTTTCCGTGATTTGTTGTTTCTCAACCTAGCAATATCAAATTCTTTTATCTCTGAAACCCATGCTTTATCTAGCCCTTGAAAAAACCTCTTTAGCAGCTTCTTTGTTACCTAATGGAAGGAAATTAAAATTCTGGTCATCAGCTCTCAATTTCTAGGTGTATTTCAACCAGCTGGTTGTGATTTCTGACCCTGTAAATTGTTGAATTCTAAGAAAGTCAAACCATGTTAAAAAGAATGGGTGACTTGCATTATTGTGTTCCTGCAAAATTCTATAGCAAAGCCAGCCTCTTTTTCTTTTCTCTGCCTGGTTTCATGACAACAGATATGTCATTTACATGAATAAACACAAGTCTGGATTATTTGCTTACAGTGCCAAAAACAAATAAAACTTTAGAGCTGTAAGCTAGTTTTGAGTTAATCTAAAATGAAGAAATTGGCTTTAAATTTTATCACACTGTAGTCTTAAAAAATCACAGCTGCATCAGTTTAAGCTTGTACTTCCTCTTTTTAGGAACATTCTTTTTTGCTTTAAACTGAAAATTGGATATATATGAAAGCAAAATCTGAAACTTCTTTCATGTTGGTCAAAACTGAAAAGCCAATGCAAAAAAAGTGAAAATGGAAGCCAAAAAAGACAAAAAAAAAACAAAAAAAGGATTCAACACTTTCTCTGTGAAAAGCAAAAGACTACTGATACCCCCCAAATGGCCAAATCTTCCAAAAATAATTATACATAACATAAAACAACACTGCTTGCCCTTTTGCAATAAAAGAAAAAGATCCGGGCAAAACACATCTGACTTTGTAAAGTTGTCAGGGATCTTGAATTTAGATGATTTTGCACACTTTGGTAAAATAATGTTCTCTAATACAGTTCTTCAATGCCATCGTTTCAACCAAAATGTTCCCTCCATCCTGAAATTTGGACCCCAAAGATAAGTCTTAAAAAATCCTGTTGTTATCAAATAAATGTTATTTTTATATAATTAAAAAAGTCTTAAAAAATCCTCATTGTTTGGTCCTTAAGGGCCTAGTGCAAAAAAGCCACATAGGAAAAGTGGTATGGTCACACAGGACTCAAAGTCAACAACTACCTGGTCACATATGCAACTGGATTTTTGGTTGCGTGCCTCAAAAATCATGTGCAATAAATATTTATTGCACCTGTGCACCACAAAATCCAAAGCACAGTGCGACTGACTTGCTTCCCTGCTTCCTAGCCTGAACATACTTACGTACTTGAAGCAGTAAGATGTTAATTAAACGGTAACTTCATGAAATGAAAGTAAAAGTAATGTAGAAATACATGTACCACAACCAGGCTCTAAATAATAAAGTTACATTGTTTTTGTTTCATCTGTGTATGTTTCATTCATTCCAAGCTCGAATTCGATGTTGTACTCTATCCCAGACTCTTCTGGTTTGTAATAAATGCTGGTGACACATGTAAATACATGTATGCTACGGACGAACATATGCTTCTTGGGAAGTGATCGTTCTAAGGTCAAGAGTGTCAAGCATATCAAAACAAAAACAGTGTGGATTAAGAGCATTTTTTTTCTTCCAGTTGAGAAAGTTTTTAAGTCACAACCCAGTAATATGTAAGTCATTGCACATTTAACGAAATAATTCGTCAAAGATTAATTTTCATTCTCATTCTACATACTCATTGTTGTTGTGCACTTTTTTCAAGTGTAAGTTTTCTTTAGTCACAACTGTACTGTCAAAAAGAGAAATTAGTGTTAAAAATCACAACAGTATTACTGGATAGCAAATTGGCTGTCTTTTATCAATCACAGGCTTGAAATAAAAGTAACAAACTGAAGATGACATTTTAAATGTGGCACTGTTAAGCTTGTTACTTTTTCTTTTGAAATAGATGCTCCTAACATTGCAAGCTGTGGTCCTCAAATTTTCAGCTGTGCACCTAAAAATTTACATCTGGTAGCACAAGTACTCCCAAACTGAAGTTTAAACTTTGAGCCCTGTCACAGCAAGTGGGTCAAAAGTGACTGCAATTCACGGCTCTTGTGGAGGTAAATTCTATTACACAAGATTATTTTCCTGAATCTGGAATCATGAAAATCACCCGAAATCACCTGTCTTGTTAAGAATAACAGTTACTACATTCTTCTTGAATCTGCTTAGAAAACTCTTTTTCTCTGATAATGCCAATGCTAGCCTCAAGAATTCAAATCTTTGATCCAAAAAAAAAAAGCCCATCAGAGACCCCCCATCCCCTTCCCTTCCCTTTTCACGTTACCTCTGTAAGTTAGTGTGATTGAAGAGACACAACTTGGCTTCTTTCATTTTCACAAGGATAGGCTGCTTTGCAATGTGCTCTAGCCAAATTATTGTAGAAAAGAGATGATGACATTGAAAGAGATAGATTATTTCTAATGGCCCACATTCGATATATTAAAATTCTAACATGACTTCGAGGTTTTCTGGTAATTTTTCTATAGTTGGTTTGGTGTTCTTTGTGCTCAAATCTCTCCTGAGAATTGTGAGACAATGGAGTCGTACAAAATTTGCAATTTTGACCCTAAAGCCTTAGAGTCATGTTAGAATTTTAATATATCGATCAATTCCCACATGCGTGGAAACTGGGGTCCTGGGACCAGAATTTGATAAGACTCAGGTGTCAACTTCATTTCAATTCAATAAAGATTCGACAGGAACAAAGAGAAACTGCAAACTAAAACATAACATTAAACAAACCGAATTTCATGAATTCTATAAAAATGAGGTGATTAGACTTTTGAACTATTAGAATACTACACAACCGGATTATTACCATCTTGAATCCGTTTATCAATACATTTAAGCTGGCTATAACTTCTCAAAGGAAGCCAACTTCATGATCATAGTACAGTAAAATTTCTCATTAAAAGGATACGTATAAAGCTCCATATAGCGTGGCTTTGACATACTCTGTTGCTTATAAACGTGTTGTATTCCTTCTTTAAGATCATCCCAGATTTCGTCCAAGTTAATTTGACGTAATCCATGTGGATTCTGTGTCCTAGAAGCCATCATGTTCATAATTACTCCGACGACAAACCTCGGCTTCTGACTTCCTTTGTTAAGTTTTCTTTCCCGTAACCCCGAGAAAAACGTACCACTTTTGATTATCAATTAATCTTCCCTCCAAGAAATTGTAGCACTGGTCAGTACCTTGTCGAATGCATCCCAAACGTGAAGAATTTTGCTATTTGACACACACAACTGCAGCCCAACACAAATGGATGGTCGAGACAAACACTTCCCTTTTGACTCCAGAAGCGTATATCAAGCAATACTTCGCCTAGAAAGAATCGTCATTTTCTTAGATGAATTTCTGCTTGACAAATGCGAGACATTTCGAGGGAAATACCATCTTTTTATGACTTTTCCTCTCGACACATTATCTTCAGGCACGTAAAACAAGATGGCTGCTAGTCTGTGACGTCACAGTTGACATGACCGCAAGGCATGCTTACCCGCGCCTTTCAAAAGTTGCCATGTGCGTGCTACAGTTCGGAACGCGGATGTCGGCAAAGGAAATCGCAAAGCGGCGGATTTTACTTGTTTTTTTTTCTGCGTGAAAATCGAGGATCTGCGAGCAAAGTTTTCTTTCTGGCATGACTTAACAGTGGCAAAAAACTAACTCGGTTAACGACGCGATTAGTCGTTTATAGTGCTTTTGGTGCGTCACGACACATAAACGGTTTTGTAGCAGACTACGACGCGATGACAAGCCACGCGAACGACGGCTTCGTAGCCATGCGAAAAAGAAACCTCTTGACACGCAATGTAGAGGTTTTCGTTTACTTATGATCAGTGAAATCATGAGCGCTTACCATTTGCATGGAAAACCCAGAAATTCTGTGAAGAATTGAAATGAACTGTTCATCCCGGTGGAAATTTTCCGGAAAAAAAGGAATACTTTTCGAGGCATAACCTTTTTCTCATTTTTACAGAAACGACCGAAATTTTTTTGTACCATTTGTTTGGATTACTAGTGCCACGCTTTATGTCGAGAGAAAGCAAAAAATTAACCGGTATTTTGTAAATGGTGCACCTCAATCCCGTTCCTGTTTTCGGTACCAAAAACAATACCAGTACCATTCCACTCACGGAAAATTTTCACCGAAATTTCCGTACAAATAGTAAGCGCTCCATAATAATAAACGACCAGGAGTCTAAAAAAATCCAAATTATAAGTACTAAGTGGGAAGTGAAACACCGACGAAAGCGCACTTGAAAAATGCGGAATTTTTTTTTTCGCTTTTTTTTTTAGATCTTGTTTTTTTAGACATATTGAAAGCAGTTCATGTCAATTTACACGTTTTTTTTGTCTTTTAAAAAAAGCTATTTGAGTTAAAAGCAAACAGTTCGTGAACTGGACCGTGGGATTATGTTTTGTTAAGAGATCGAGAATAGGACAGTGTCCTAAAATGATTAATATACTCTCAGTGGGATGTTTCATGAATCACTTGGTCAAGACCTGAGGTGAGGTGACTTACAAACCTAACCTCAGTGATTCTCTAGTCAGGGCCAAACTTCGCAATCTCACACGACACAACCAGCCCCGAGGCTCATACCCACGCGGGAAAAACTGTCTCACTTGTAAATACATATCTGACGGACAAACTTCATACACATACCACTCTACAGGCTAAACCAGACCTATCACTCATCACATCGACTGTAACTAAAAAAAAAACGCCATCTACATGATACAATGCAACCACTGCTCCAAACATAGGTGAAACCAAACGATGACTCAAAGACCGTTTCAACGAACGCCGCAGAACAGTTGACAATCCATCTAATATCTCTAAACCAACCACAGTCTCAGAACACTTTCTTACTAATGATCACTCCTGCTAACTTCATCAATTTTTATTTCACCAGGACCACCCAACGTCAATTTTCAGAAAATATCGGTTCGGAAGACGATTTGAGATCTAGAATTTTCGGAACGTTTGTTGTATAATTTCTTGCTTGACCGCCTCTCCTAGGATTTTTGAACATCTAAAAATGAAATGGTATAATTGCCCATTTTTAACGGATTTTTACCCTAAAAAGGTCACCTAGAATTTTCGGGAGTCTTTTTTCTAGCTGAAATTTTCGAATAAGTAGGTTTTGATCCCTACAATCATCCGGTCGGATCACTAGACTTTCAGCTAGGAAATCCGAACAGCTGAAAAATTTTTAGGGGATAAAAATATGCCAATATCTACCGTTTAAATACTAAAATACGTTTAACAATGCTATGTTTAAGTGGTTTTGAACTATATTCTTGTTGAGTGCCCCTGATTAAATCTAATAGAGACAGTGTGCGAAAAGTTAGAGAAGCATACCTCATCGAGAGAGGTAAACTCTTGAACCTTCTGGTACAAAATTGAAAGATGAAATGTAATGCAATCTTTGTTCCTTTTGTTTTTTATCATTTATTTATACTATTTTTTCATTTTAAATTTCTTTTATATCACTATTTCAACGGTTTTTAATTTTTTTTCTTAACGTTCACTACAGTCTTATTTAAATATTCACATGTAATCATAGTATCATATTGCACACTGTTCTTTATTTCAAATTGTGACGTCTTGGCTTAACCCCATCATTGTATGTAACACTCCGAAAAAGGAAGGCCGTGCCTTCCGAAATATTGGTAAAAAATATATACATATATCTACCTGGAGTTATGAAAACTGGGTTAACAAACATTTTGTAATTCTTCTCAACTTCTGCTGTCTAATAGCTTGTTTACTGTGTTGTTTGCTTATGTCGTTTTTTTTGCTTGTTCTGTGGTTATAATTAGGGATTTGTGTAGAAGTGGATGAAGACAGAATTACTATCTTATTATCGATAGAATTACTATCTTTGCTAACTATTTAAGTTGTTATGTAAGCCTTAACCAGGCACTCTTTTGCTGCAGTTCAGTCAACTTAAAAATTTCTAGACTGAAATGACCCCGGTTTGAAACTTTGCGAAGTCCGATTACTGAAAAGATGTTCTAAAATTTGCTTCAGTTTAAATTTGGACTTCAAGGGACCATTAGGTTACTGCCCAGCGTCAGAGATAAAGGCTTTTAATCGGCCTTTGAACGAGTTTTATTGTTTTAAATTGCCAAGGAGTACTAATGATGAGTTGATGTTTTTGCTTACCAGCGTTTTCAAAAATCCAGGTATGATATATTCCCGACTGTAAAATCAGCCTTGCTTGTTTTGTTTAATATTTTCACTTATTGCTGATTACATTTCACAATCCGGTCCATCTTTTTTGTAAGCTGGTCCTTGCTTAAAAAAATCGGAATCTGACCAAGGGCTCCTGACCATACCCGATTCCAGACCAAAATGGGCAAAGTTTATACCCGTTTTCAGACCAAAACGGCGCAAAAACCCTACCCGGTGGGGGTGGCACCTACCTATATAGCTTATGTAAGGGAATACCCCCCCCGGGGGGTGCTTCCCCTAATTCCAGGCTGGTGAGAAGAAGCCAGAAGAACTTATCCTGACGGGGATTTAATTTTTTTAAGTGTTGACAGTATAGCGTTAAATGATTAAGATGGATTGACAGCTTAGGGTTAGGTTCGGTTTCATCTCGATCGCGTGACAACCAACATACAGACGCATATTAATGGCAGCGTTTTCGAATTCGACTTGAGAACGAACTCTGCAACAGAATTGTACACATAGAGTAGCATAACTAAGCGATGTTTTCCTCTAGCTTTACAGCTGTAATTGTAATTTCCGTCATCACTTTAGCGTTTTCAGCAGAAATACCGAACCTAAAACCCGGCGATGGAGCACCTCCGTTCATGATTCAAGCAAGGAAGGCAGATCAGTACGATGCACTAGAAATCTTAAAATACGGAACAAACGATTCAAACATTCAAGGACCAATCGTGTTTCTGGCGCACACCAAAAGATCCGGCTTCTTGGAGAGTCTCTTGAGTGACCCAGAATGTTTCAACAAGCTGATAGACATTTCACCCGATAATGTCAACTACGTGTTTTTGTTCTACGCCGATTCTGCGCCAACAGCTTGCAACAATGAAGTCAAAGCAATGGCTGACGAGTTTGCAAACCGTTTTTATGACGCCATTATCTCATACACCAAACGCAAAAGGTACGTACACAAGTTAATTTGGGACAAATTTTATCTCAATCCCGTAATCCCGAGGGCTTTCATTGGCTTGTCCCGATTCCCAAACAGCTTTCGGGAATTTATTTCGAGGAGCTTCTCACCCCCCACCCCCCACCCCCTCAAAGCTGAATACATTTAACATCAGTGAGGACAGTTGACATTAGGAGCTTTGGTTTCTTCATTAAAAATATTACATTTTATTTGAGTGTCAATTTTTGTAGCACTAAAGTGCTAATTAAGTGTACTTTTTGTTCCTTTCCTAATGGAGACGGGGCCGCCATTTTACGTGATCATCTGAGCCACGCAAAGGTCCAGCCGTTTGCAGGTTGAAGGCAGGACCTTCGTTTCTCAGTTATTTTAATACCGTGAGTATCGGTCCGGTATAACCTCCGATCAGGCGGTCCTTTTTCCCTTTTGTTTGGCAGGTTAGGTTCGGTCCTGTGAATCGAACCCTCGACCTCTTGCTCTGCAGTCAAGCGCTCTACCGACTGAGCTTATCCTGACGCGGTTTTTCTGTTCTTCCATATCCCAGCCGGATGGAGTAAGGGTGGGCCGGGTTAAGGGGATGGCTGTCCCTTCAACCAAACTACTCCAAAAAGTCTTATATTCAATGCTATGACTGCAAATCCAAAAAATTTTCTCCTGTTTTAAGGTAGCCTGCGGACACAGTCGTCTCGCCTCGCTTCCGCCGCCGTCTCGGCTGTATTCTCAGGCTAGTTTTTCAGCAGAACAGACTTTTTTTTCATATTTCAGTTGCAGATTGGAAAAACTGAGATGGCCCTCCAATCGAGTTCGCAGCCAGTTTGATGAGTATGAGTTTAATGAAAGAAGCCCTCTCCCATCAGAGTTCCAACAAAATCACTTATGTCCAGAAATGCATGCAATGGCGAAAATGGCGAAACTGGCGAAAAATCGCCAGCTGCTGGCGATTTGAATTGGATGCCAAAAGTGGCCCCTTGGAGGCTGGCGATTTTGGCGAAAATGGCGATTTTGGCGAAATTGGCGATTTTGGCAAAAATCGCCATGTATGCAATGGCGAAACTGGCGAAAAATCACCAGCCTCTGGCGATTTGAATTGGATGCCAAAAGTGGCCCCTTGGAGGCTGGCGATTTTGGTGAAAATGGCGATTTTGGCGATTTTGGCAAAAATCGCCAGAGGGCTGGCGATATGTGGCAAAATATTCAAATTGGATGCCAAAAGTGGCCCCTTCAAAGTAGATAACTAAAGAGGTCCTTATAACTGTGAGGCAACAGTACTAAAAAAAAGTTCAAATTACTTGCCTAATAAGAGGCCCCAATAACTGTGAGGCAACATTTATCAAATACAACTGAATCAAATATATGACAAAACAGCTTTACCTAACTTTCAAACAACATTTTATTAAATACAAGTGAATCAAATATATCTGAAAACAACAAATGGAAGTCGTTTCAGTTAAGCTAATATGTATTTGTGCCATGTACTTCACAGGTTAAGTAAACATTTCCTTACTTTCGATGTCGCTTGACTTACCAAAAGTGATGTGATGCGCTGAAATATCACACTAGCATCATTTGCTTTTGTATGGTTCATTCATTTCAAAGACTTACAAGTCCACTAATTACTCGAGGAGAGAACTACCAAGTCCTTGAAATCATAATAATTCCTTGCCATGGACACTCTAACTTTTGAGGTTCGATGTAGACCTTAACAATCCTCACTGGTTACAATTCTCTTCACATTGGTTCCATTAAATTGTGAGGCAGCCTTAAATCAAAAGCGATTGCGAAACGCATGGTTCCTGGCTAAAAGATGCTTTCACGATAACCATTGTGCGCCCTTCATTCTTTTTTGGTTCTCCACTATACACATTATCTTCTTCCGTCGTTTTAAACTCTTCACTTTCTTCTCGCACTTACTTGTTTTGCTCTTTAGAGAAACGATCCCCTAAAAGTAACGAAAGCCGAAATGTCCAGCAGCTTGCATGCGCCATTTTGAAATGTGCGAATTCGCTTATTTCAACTTTATGTAAACCTGCACGAAATGTCACTTGTGCCCCATATTTCACCGCATTTATTGAACATAAACATTGGATCAAAGTAATAACTTGTTTGTCTCTTTCATAAAACACATCCCATTCAAACTAATTCTGTATCTTTTCATCAACCTAGATATATAAAAAGAGAGTGTACATGTTTGTCTCGTTCTTAAAAAATGTGTCCCATTGTTGCTTTATGAGGTGGGGCCAGAAATTTTGAAAATGTATTGTTTTTTTGCGCTGAGACCACCAAACCAATTCTCAGTACAATATGTTTTCCATTAAATTGCTAATGCTAATGCTCGTCGAAACACGTCACCCGGCCTTTTTACCTTCTATTTTAACAATTGCCTGAGAGTCCCTGTGAACGACATTAATCGTTTTGCTTACATAGAGTGACCACCAAAGTCGGCTAGGAATGACACTAATCGTTTCCACTTACATAAAGTAGTTATCCAAAATCGACTATTTCAACATGGCCGCCGCGTCTATATAACAACTACTAAACCTTACACGTTCATGTTCTGTGAAACTGCAATGAACCAGCTCGTTTATATATACTTGTACGATTGAACGCCATTATAACAAACAGGATGGATATACAAGGCAATACGGACCATCTAATTATCTGAATGCGTAGCCAAGAATCAACCTGGATTCCTCATAACATATAATGTTGAACTGTCGCTATTCAAACAATGCCTACAAGCCTGGAAAATTAAGGATACCTATCTTGGAGTTTTTGGTAAGAAAGTTGCCATGAACATTACGAAGATTACCATTTACTGATAATCGAATACAACTCGTTGGCCATTCGATTTGAATTGAGCAAGAAATTAGTTATAAGTGGAAATTCCCGACCAAACACTCTTGTCTGGGACGAATTTCAAATCACAAGAGGTTATCAATTAAAGGTAAAAGTATTAAAAACAGATTAATGACACTTAAGTTACAGTAGCGTTGTCATTATTAGTATACAATTATACTATTGGAAACATTTTTATATTAATATGTGGTTAACTATTTGGCAATTAATAGCCATTTCAAAAGGGACCCTCTGCTATGTCATTTCAATTTGTCTTGATAAATTAGGTATTTCATCGAGTAATTGCCATTTCTGCCAAAACACGTTTTAAGAACGAGGCCAACATGCACTCTAATTTTTTTTTATTTTATTTTGTGGCTGATGAAAAGATACAAGATTAGTGCACGCCATTTTCGCCAAAATCGTCACTTTCCAAAGGGCCCCTTTGGCATCTCATTTGCATTTTTGTTTATAATTTGGCGATTTCGGCGATTAATCGCATTTCCGCCATTTTCGCCAAATACGCCATTTTCGCCAATATCGCCACTTTCCAAAGGGCCCCTTTGCCATCGTGTTTGAATTTTTGTTTACAGTTTGGCGTGTTTGGCGATTAATTGCCATTTCTGGCATTTTCGCCGAAATCGCCACTTTCCAAAGGGCCCCTTTCCCATCTCATTTGAATTTTTGTTGACAGTTTGGCGATTTTGGCGATTAAGCGCCATTTCTGCCATTTTCGTCAAATACGCCAATTTCGCTAATATTGCCACTTTGCAAAGGGCCCCTTTGCCATCTCATTTGAATTTTTGTTTATAGTCTGGCGATTTTGGCGATTAATTGCCATTTCTGCCATTTTCGCCAAATACGCCATTTTCGCCGAAATCGCCACTTTCCAAAGGGCCCCTCTGCCATCTCATTTGAATTTTTGTTTATAGTTTGGCGATTTTGGCGATTAATTGCCATTTCTGCCATTTTCGCCAAATACGCCATTTTCGCCAAAATCGCCACTTAGCAAAGGGCCCTTTGCCATCTCATTTGAATTTTTGTTTATAGTTTGGCGATTTTGGCGATTAATTGCCATTTCTGCCATTTTAAGCCAAATCGCCATTTTCGCGAAATTGCCACTTTCCAAAGGGCCCCTTTGCCATCTCATTTGAATTTTTGTTTACAGTTTGGCGATTTTGGCGATTAAGCGCCATTTCTGCCATTTTCGCCAAATCGCCATTTTCGGCGAAATCGCCACTTTCCAAAGGGCCCTTTGCCATCTCATTTGAATTTTTGTTTACAGTTTGGCGATTTTGGCGATTAATTGCCATTTCTCCCATTTTCGCCAAATACGCCATTTTCGCCGAAATCGCCACTTTCCAAAGGGCCCCTTTGCCATCTCATTTGAATTTTTGTTTACAGTTTGGCGATTTTGGCGATTAAGCGCCATTTCTGCCATTTTCGCCAAATACGCCATTTTCGCCGAAATCGCCACTTTCCAAAGGGCCCCTTTGCCATCTCATTTGAATTTTTGTTTACAGTTTGACGATTTTGGTGATTAATTGCCATTTCTGCCATTTTCGCCAAATACGCCATAATCGCCACTTTCCAAAGGGCCCCTTTGCCATCTCATTTGAATTTTTGTTTATTATATAGTTTGGCGATTTTGACGATTAATTGCCATTTCTGCCATTTTCGCCAAATACGCCATTTTCGCCAAAATCGCCACTTGGCAAAGGGCCCCTTTGCCATCTCATTTGAATTTTTGTTTATAGTTTGGCGATTTTGGCGATTAATTGCCATTTCTGCCATTTTCGCCAATGCGTGCATTTCTGGACAAACGATGCTTCGCTCTAGCTAATCTGTTTAATAATGTCCTCTCCTTGAGAGATGACCGGCCATCCAGTTCACCATGAGCTTCGCTCTTGAGCTTGTTCCAGTTATTTTTTGACCCTGAGCATTGTTTTTAATGAAATAAGTGCGACTGATGATGCATAAGAAAGAAAACCTCTTCACGCGCATCTTTATTATCTTTCAAAACGTTATAAAAGGACGGAGAGGACTAATGTAAGACAGATCTTACACTTTGTTACTTTTTCTCTCAGGTTCAGAACTGTCAGAAAAATAGCGCGCTGGGTGTTTTAGTTTTCGCTCGCCAGAATCAGCCTCTAGAGGACATGAACTGTCAAGGATCCGAGTGCAACACCCAACTCAACATTCCAGCTTCCATGATTACATTTGATACAGGTTTTAAAATAAATGGTAGCAGCCGATCGTACGTCCGCTTTCAAAACACTCCCTCTGACGTTTTTGCATTTGGAATTGACGGACAAGGAAAAGTGCAAGAGACAGGCTGGTTTTTGTACCCTTCGATGCGGTTCTTAGCCTACCAGGCGCAATGGTGAGCAGAGAATGACTAAAACCATACATCGATATTTATATGATGTCACGTTTCCAGTTACATTCTCGTTCCTAGAGCTGCGATCCTTCTGGTCAGCGCTGCGACCCTCTCAACCTGGGGCGCTGACCAAAAGGATTGCAACTCTGGGAACTAGAATGGCCTGGATACACGCAGTCTGCAAGTAAAGCTCTCCAATTGTAAATAACGATTCGAAAGTCACGCACACGAGCCTCTCATGATTGACAAATGGAAATCTGTGAACAATGCCTTTTGAATAGCTTCATTTTCAACCGTCCACGGTATATTTATTGGTTTTTAAACCGTTATTTTTTTTTCTGAGGGATGTTTGGATCCTCAGTTTAGGAGGTTACTCAACCTGCTATAACCTTTTACCCATGAACTAACCTGTTTTATTGTGTTTTGTCTACTGCAGGTTTAACTACAAAACCAATTTGCTTAAAAACTTAACAACACGAGATGCTGTTGTTATAAATGTGTTCAACCACACAGTCATGCAAGGAGAGAAAGGCGTTACTGCAACAGTTGAGATACCGTCTATTGATGGTGAGAAGCAAACTAACAGGCAGATTTAGAAATGAAAACGCGACTAAAGTGACGATGGCGCGGACAGATCTTAATCTGACTTGACCATACCCTGGGTTCCATGAGAGGTTTTTTCTCGAGTGCTGCTCGAAGATTTGAACAGCGCGGAAACCGGAAACCGCGCATGAAAAGTCTCTGGCGCCCAGGGTAGCCCAGTAGCAGAGCGGAAAGTTGAGCACCGGAAGTCGTGCTCAGTTTCTTCCGCGCTCTTTCTCGTTCTCATTTCACGTTGCGTTGTCGTGCCTATAAAAAATAAGGGAGTTTTAGCAACGACGGCGACGGCAACGAGGACGTCAAAACAGCAAAGGTTTATTAAGCGAAACAACAAGTTTGCACGTGCGGGATCACGCTTTTTGTACATTTCTTTGCCGTTACTGCACAACTGTGACGTGAAAATGCCTAATTTCACATTTTATGGAGGACGAAAACAAGCTACGACAAAATTTTCCTTCTGTTTCTAAACTTGAGTGCGGTCCCCAAGAAATCAGCTCCAGGGAAATTTACCTACATTAGACATCAGTCATCAATTTTACCTTAAAAGTGAGGTGGTGGCCCCGTCCTAGACCCCTCGCCTGGGCCTGCCTCTGATTTTTAACAAACTGTACTCTTTTCTGTTGGTTTACCGTTATGTGAAACTTGACGATTCGTGTATCTCTCTCCAGATCTCCAGCGTTACGAGCACGTGGAGCTAGACTTTTCTTTATCGTGCCCAGGCTCTACAGACGACCCTTGTGCTCACTGGGATCACACGGTACAGCTATACGTTTGCTGTAACTCTGCCAGTAAATTGTGTGGCCTGGAACTAGGCCGGTGGATAACGCCTTTTAGAAGGTGAATTTCGTCAGCTTCTCATCCAATCGACATTTAAAACTCCCAACTCAGCCATGGTCACTTTGGTATGGACATTCCCGCGTTTTGGGCATCCCCACTCCCAAAGGCCTAGAGATGTAACCCTAACCCTAATCCAATTAGCTAAGGTAATATGAAAAGGTGATGCCCATGCATATCACTTGGGTTTGGGAATAAGTATGCCCCAAACGCAGGGATACCCATATCATTGTAACACCGGTTCATTTAATGAAATACAGTCGAACCTCGCTATTTCGAACTCGGTTAATTCGAAGTCTCCGCTATTTCGAAGGAAGATCGAATGCCCTTGGATTTACCCTTCCCCTTTACGCTTCCCCGGTTATTTCGAAGCCCCGCTATTTCGAACTTTTTTCCATTTCCCTTGGGACTTCGAAATAGCGGGGTTCGACTGTACTTGTAAATTAATACATGCCCATTTAGGGGTTCCTTATTATCAAGGATAAGCACAGTCAGTTACTGCGCGGTCTTCTGTGCGGAAGGTTCCGAGTTTGATTCCCAGGTGAGACCTTAAATCCTTGTTTCGATCATTTTTTTTTTCGCTTGAACTAGGTTTACCCCACTCCAGCCGAACTATTAGGGGAATGGGTACAAGCTTTCGGCGTGACGATTTCTGGGATCGTATGAGTGGACAAACGTTGGTTATAAGTCGGTCTATTTTATTCAAGACAACTATTAAGCAATCATAAGTAACATCATCTTCATCATCATCATCATCATTTTTATTAGCCTTTTTTTTACAGCAAATTTTACAGGATGCAGCAGGTTGTTAGGCGAGGACTGACCTCAAGTAACCACCAGGCTTATAAAGAAAGGCGCACCTCGACATCACAATATTATAAGAAATAAGGGCTGCGAAGAAGTGCGGCTAAACTTAAAGATGTATCCGCACGGCTTCGCGACCTAGCCCACCTAACGCTTGTCATCCCATGTGATTCCAAAAACTATTCCCCTTGCAGTTTCTGGAGCGGGAAAACCAGTAAAACGGAGCACTGATGAGGACAAGGGGGTAAAATGAGCGCAACGTCGGTGTTATGAGAACTGTATGAGTTACCGATGTAAAACAAGGACCTTTATACCTTTGCCATATGCAAGGTTCCTACCATACTTAACATTCTCCCCATATATCACTCCCGGGGTAAATGGCATCTTGCAGACCTTCAGAAAATAGTTTTATTACATTCCTAGCCCCCGTAGCCAGGTAGCAGGCGCCGGTTATTTGTTTTTACAGACCGGGCGAGAGGAACGCGAGAAGGGGAGACGAGGCCTCATCTCCTTTCTCCCCTCGTGCGATATTTCTGATTTCGGCCTAAAAAGCCTACCCCTGAAGCGCAGGCTATCACATTGCTATTGCGTCGCTTGGTTGCTATGAAACAGTATATATCTTTTCGGCTTAATAACGAGTAACTGTTGTACATTTTTGATGTTCTTAAAAATGCAAACTTGATAACCATTTTGTGAATTTTGCTTGCGTTGTCGCCTTTGGACTTCCATAACACAATACTCGCAAAAATGGACTAAATATATACGCTGATTTTATACGATTATTTTATAGTTGGTTTTACTTCTTCCCTTTGCTTAACAGGCGCATCGGACGCTGGTTAACTCCTGTGAAGCCGTTGATACCTTTGCTTCAAACTACAGACCCCAGCTCAAAAAATAAATGCGTCTTCACCTTGAAAACCGCTCCATGGGCAATGGCTTGGGTTCCGTCTCTTAACATCAGGCTTGTTGGAAAAGTGCAAGGTAAAAAAATACGAAATTACATCTTTCTAAGTCACTGTAGTGTTCCAGGTTTTGCCCCTCTCAGAAAGAGAAAGGGGAGCCAGAACTGTAGAACATTAGCTGCAGATTTTAACCTTTGCTATCGTTCCCTATTTATCAGGGTGGAAATACTTTGTTAAAGGAGCGAATATAATGTAATTTTAGATTCACATCTATTGATTTGAGTCATTCATTTTGTGAACAGAGCAACGTTCGTCAAACAGCAGTTTACAATTTGTTTAATGAACTCACACAACCCCATCAAACTTGCACAAGTGTGCAGCTTTACCGAATTTTTCGATCAATTAGCTTAGGTAGTTGCCGGTCGTTTCAATTCCAACTATGGTCATGCACTTTATAACATTCCGGCTCAATTAGTGCTCATTAAAGTGTATACGTAATGTCAAATAAAGAGATGTGACCTTGCTACTTGCTACATCTCTGTTAACTGCTACTTACTAAATCTTACTAAATTTGTTAATTGCCATTTATCTTTGCTTTCAGTGTTAAGGCATTACACCACATATCATTCAATGGAGAAATCACTCGCCCCTTTCCAAATCGTTCCACTGTTTCGAGGAGGAACATTCGACAAGCATTACAACAGCAAGTACTCTCCCTTTCCGTTCGTTCCTCCGAGTGAAACCGAACGGGTGAAGCTTGTAGCTGTCATAACTGGCCACGGCAGCGATAACAACAACTGCGCTGAGTTCTGCGTCACTTCGCATCATTTTATAGTTAACAAGGAACACAACTACACCCGTGTATTCAGCAACGCAGGCACCGCCATGGGATGCGCAGATCGCGTTCCTGAGGGCGTGGTCCCAAATGAGCATGGCACGTGGCTGTATGGGCGCGACGGGTGGTGTGATGGACAGGAAGTGATTCCGTGGGTAGTGGATATAACTAGCGCTCTTAAGCCCTCTAACAACACCATACGGTATTTTGGCTGGTTTAACAACACGGATCCTAACCCCACCCGGGACCCTGGAGAGATCATCATGTATTCTTACTTGGTTTATTACAAGTATCTTGATGCAGAAACCTCAAGTGCCGATTTACATTAAAACCTAGGGTGACGGAGGTACTCCGGAGTTAAAGTGACCTGGATGATCAAAAGATTTTTTGGGGGGAGTTGAAATTTTTCATTCGGGGATTTTTTAGATGGGAAATTTGGCAAGTGTTTGCCATAGTGTAAGTGGGGATTTCTGGTGGTATTCAAAATAACCTGAAGATTTGGTGTAGTACTACTTGCGTACGTGCAAGCCGCGTACTTCTTTACTACCAGATGAGGAGAAAATTATAATTAATTGAGGTGTGATTATGAATAAACGACCAAAAATATTCAATTTCCATCTTTTTGTTTATTACATCTCTTAATCCTTCATAGAAAATTTTTAAGGATCGGAAATTTAATAATGATGGAAGTTTTTGGGGGGTTAATTTTTCGTCCAGCGAATTTTTTGGGTTTCGTTGGAAGCCATAGAGATTTTTTTTGTTTTCAATTTTTTCCCCCTTTCGATCAACCGCGTCACTTTATTGCAGAGTCCCAACCTATTTTATTAAGTTAGTAACACAAAAACACTGTAATGACTGGTCACACCGATTTTTTGGCATAGTTAGAAAGGCTTAGGTGGGTTGCCCCTTGAATATCCTCGTCCTCATTGATTTCTACGCATTCAAAATGGACGCGCAGTTTCTACGCCCGCCAGTTTAAAAGCAGCGAAGGTGCTAAGGGCGAGCCGGAAGATGCTGTTCAAAAAATCATAAATTTCGCTTCGTCCGATTGCAGCATTTACAAAGCCTGCTAGGTTGCCTTAGCCTGAAATTCATGCCCTTTCTCCCCTCGTTAAGTTAATCTCTCCCCGAGTAAATTGACGAGCAGAGGAGTTTTTTGAAATTCATGCTAGGCTTGCCCTAGGGCCTTTCCATTTTCCTAGGGAAAAGCTTTTTCCTTTACTATTCTATTCGTTTTCTGATAACTAGCAATGATTACAGTCCAGAATATTTCCAAAAATGAACAAACACGGCATAATGAATGTGACCAGCTTGATGACGTGGAAATAAAAATTGACAGAGGAGCAAGTCTGCGTGGTGCGCTTAGAACGGGAAACTAGGGAGGGACTGACAAAAAACCCCAGGGGAAGTCCGTTTCTTTTTATCTTTTACGTCGCCGATATGATTGCTGACACCTGCTACATATATATAGAGCCTAAAGTGGACTGACTGCATGCGAGATAGTTACAGCTTCGGACCTCTTTGGTAGGTCTCACTAAGTACACGCTCTGTGATTGGTCGACTTCAAGGCCGCGGGGGCTGTACGGTTAAGACTCATCTGCTTGCTATTACCCGTAAGTCAACTACAAATCACCCGTTTCCTCGAATAAGCGCCCACGCTCTAGTAAACGCCCTCCTCCGAATAACCCCCTACCCCCATACGACGAGTTATTTTTGTAACACTTCCGTGGACCTTACACCAATCAAAAGCTCTTTAGACACAAAGCCACTGACCACATACGGTGTGTTTAGGGCTCATCTTCATGACCTCGATGCATCGTTCTTTTTAAAATTTATTGATTTTTTTCGAAAAGAGTGGAATCCTGAGAATGCGTGCTCTTCCAGCTACTTATGTAGAGGGTTTCCATGATTTAGAAGCTGTGAAAAAGATGAAGTACCAGCCACTGGGCCGAACAGGAATGGATGTTTCCAAGTTGAGTTTTGGTAAGGTGGTAAGTGAAAGCTTCAACCAGATGCAAAAATGTTGAGAAACTCTGACGAAAAACCGGCCTTTCTGACTTCAAATCGCCGCTATTCACACATCTGTGAGATATAGAACTCACGCCCTCCCTCCCCTTCATCCAAAGCAGGAGCCCATCAATTGATGAACTCCTGTTCAAAGCTGTTCTTCGCGATCTTCCAAGTTTTGAGCATCGTCTTGTGCGGCTAGCAACCTTGATAGGGAGAGGAGAGGGGCTCACTAGTTTGTCAATGTAGCTTCTCACTTCGGCCCGTTAGGGTATTTTTTGGAATCTGTAGATGTAAGAGAAGCCTCCCTTCCCTTCCCCACACATCACATCACATCACATGATCTGTTTTTGTTGCGACATCCCTTCAATGTCATGATGGAGATAAGCTTACAGTGACATGATGGAAAAGAAAAATGTGTGCAAGTGGAAGCACTGCATGACATGCCTGTAGCTGTGCCTTCTCTGATGGAGAAATTCCTACTAGACTTGGGTATTATTGTGCATGTCGTGCAAATATCAGGGGGAGGGGAGGGGGGAGGGTAGTACTGCCATACATACATACTACATACATACGGTCATATTTTTTATTTGTTCGGCTATATAGGTATGTGCCGCTGTGAAGGGTATGGTTTTCAAGCAGTTTACTCTGGGATAGGATATATAAATCAGAGAGTTTGGGTCTAGAATAGGGTATCATTTTCCTGGAAACTGATTAGTTGGTTGAAGATTTTAGTCTTGAGAATTGCCGCTCAAAAATATAAAAATATCAAATCGGTTTTGTTTTGACTGGACTGTGCTAGTGACCCCAGTAGTTTCTGGATAATTAAGCTACTCTAGGATAGTTTAGTCTAATATAGGGTAGCAAAATTCACTTGAACTAGTTTTGTTAGACTAAGGATTCCAGGGTCCCAGTGGCACATCCCCACCCAAAAATTCCTGAAGTACCCCCCTCACCCCGGGTACAAAATGGATTTGTACTTTTCATTGACATGTGGACATTGACTTCTGCTTCCTTTTTTGCACTAGCTGTAATTCATTAATCACAGTGTACATGTATGTTCAATGTATTTAAATGCAATTTTCTGAGTGTAACCGACTCAATGAGATGCATAATTTTATTTGTCATGTCAGGAGCATCATCACTTGGAAGTGTTTTTCGAGAAACCAATGAGCTGGAATCTATTAAAGTTGTTCACCATGCAATAAAAAGTGGTATCAACTATATTGACGTAGCTCCTTGGTATGGGCATGGTAAAGCTGAAACTGTCTTGGGAAAGGTAAATATTTATAATATTATTTTCCACACACTTTGTATAAAATATGATGTGACTATTCCCACAATTTTTGAAAAAATATTGAAAAAAATAAAGAGGACACATTCCAAACAAGTTGCTCATTAAGTACAAAGAATTTAGAACCTCTTGATCCAAACACCTTAACTTCTTATGTAACAAGAGTCACTCCTACAAGATGCGACATAGAGTTAAATTGGGAGCTAGTGAAGAAGAAAATTGAAAAATCATCAAACCTGAATAAAGCTACTGGACCGGACCTGGTCTCACCCAAGGACCTTAAACTCCTTGGGGAATCTTCTATCCATAGCCTGCTGCCAGTTTTCAAGAAAAGTATAGATGATGTAGTTTTTCCAACAAACCGGAAACTCTCACGTGTTAAGCCAGTATTTAAAAAGGGAGCACCCACTGATATGAGCAACTTCAGGCCCATATCTCTCTTAAGTATCCCAGGAAAGATTCTTGAAGACATTATAAGCAACAGCATAGACAATCACATTGAAGCTCAGAACCTGCTTAGTGACAATCAATGGGGCTTTCGCAAGAATCATTCTACAGAGGGCCTCCTTCTTCATCTTACTGACACTTGGAAGTGGGCCCTAGATAATAATCTTAAAGTTGGTGTTCTGTTTATTGACTTCAGGAAGGCCTTTGACTCGGTGAACCATACCATCCTATTACAAAAATTGAAAGCTGTTGGTGTAACAGGAAATTTACTATCTTGGATGGGAAGCTACCTGTTAAATCGTAACCAATTTGTTCAAGTTAATGAAGTGAAATCAGACACTAGCTCTATCAAGTTTGGAGTACCACAAGGGTCAATCTTAGGACCCGAACTGTTCTCCCTTTATGTCAATGACTTTCCTGAATCTGTAACCTCGGGAGAACTTTATATGTTTGCTGATGATACTACCATATTCACCATAAGTGATAATATTGATACTATAATTAAGGCCATGCAAGTTATACTAGATCAAGTTCTTAGTTGGTGTGGTGCTAACAGATTGATTGCTCATGAAACTAAGTCAGAAGCCTTATTATTATCTAAACAAAGATTCATTGGTCCATTGTTGCCTTTGAAGTATGGTGAAAAATTTATTGAATTAAAATCATCATGTAAATGTCTAGGAGTAACTATAGACAGTAATCTTTCTTGGCAAGAACACACTAAAAGTCTGTTAAAATCTTTTAATAAGAAAATAGCAGTCCTCAGCAGAATTAAATTCTTGCCATCATCCATTCTACAGACCATTTATTTTAGGACTGTACTTCCAAGTGTCTTATACGGAATACTAGTATGGGGTTCCTGCTCACCTGCACTAATGGATGATCTTGAGCGTGCTCATATACGAGCTTCTAAACTTATTTTTAAACTTTCAAGGAACTCGAATGCTGATCAATTAAATAAATTGAAAGGCTGGAACAATTTATCATTTTACTATACTAAGAGAATGTTAGTAGAAGTGTATAAATCCTACTATAGATGCAATACCAATGTTTTAAATGATCTAGTAATGTTAAAACAATCATCTCACTGCCTGAGGAAATCAATGAATATTGAATTTCCAAGTCCCAAAACAGAAATTGGCAGGCTGACTTTTAAGCATAGAGCTGCCATTGCTTGGAACTCACTTTCTGATTCGATCAAAAAGTCTTCTAGCTTAGAATGTTTTAAAAAAAGACTTAGATCTAGCAAGGACTTAATTAATTCTATAAGCTATAATAAGGAATCTTCCATGATAAGAAATAGGAATGAGGAATTTCTTTATTAATCTTATTTATATTTGTATTGTTATTATTATTCATTATTTAACTTCTGTTGATTTTCTATTTATTCACATGTACATACTTTAGTTTTTTTTTTAACAAGTAGATAGGCAGGTCCACATCAGGACTTCAGTCTTGCGTATTCTGTAACCTGCGTTACCAAATAAACTATGTATGTATGTATATGTATGTATGTATGTTATAAATCATTCTAATCATTCCAGCTAATAGTGGCATGGTGTAAACTGGTCACAGTTTTTTTCCACTTCGGGGTTACACAGAAAATAAACATCATTCTGATTCTTTGAATCATCAGTTTTTTAACCATAGAATCCCACTTATTACTGTATTGTGCATTTTTTGTTCCATATTGCAGGCCCTTAAAGATGTGCCTCGTCACGCATATTACATTGCCACAAAGGTAACAACTAACTAGCTGTTAAACTAGCAGCTGAAGAGTTGTAATCCTTGGTGTATGCAGGGATATTGCTAAGAGTTAACAGCCGGCTAATTTGACTGGCTGACAAAGAGCTTATGACCTCTTTAAATTGCTCTGGAAGACAAAGACATATGGTGCAATTTTGAAGGTGCAGTTGAGTGAAAAAGCTGGCTTGACTAATAAAAGAAAAATTGCTTAATAGCTTTTACTTTTAGCTCAACTGTACATTTCAGTGTGTGGTTTATAAAATTTGAATGTTGAGCGTAAATCTCAACTTTTCAAACTCATCAATAATTTATTGAGAAAATACAAGGGAAATTAATGTTTAATAGGTGTTCGGAAAACGGATGAAAAACTGCTCTTTTTTGCATCCCTAATTTCTCCAGGTAAAATCATTTTGTTTGAGAAGTAATATTAAGTATTCGACACAGTATTTCACCACCAGATGAAGAACCCCTCAAAGTTCATCAGAAACACTCTGCTGCACATCGTATTTTCAACTCTCTTCTCAGTGTTTCATCTGGTGTTGAAACACTACCTCTCATGCTTGATATTTTTCATCTTTAATATTGCTAGATCCAAGCACCCTTGAAATTACTGGTACATGTAACTGAAATATAAAGAAGCCAATGATTGTGCCCATTTTAATCTTGGAGTTTATATAAAACAAATGAATGTTTTTTTTTATTAATTTTTTATTGACACTTCTAACCTGCTCAGCTTTCTCTTTGTTTTAACCTGTTTGTAACTCAAATGTTCTAAGTGCAACAGAGGGAAAATATCAGTGAAGCAATGCTGCTGTGCCCTGCAGTTTTTTAAGAAATCCATTTTTGAATTTAAAACAATGAAATCTGACCATAAAATGCCAAAGTGCAAAATCACAGGATGATGAAAAAATGGGCAATAAATCATCTTCATCCATACATTTAAGGATTACTACATTTCATCTTGTAGGTTTGCCGATATGAACCTGAAGTTCAAAAGATGTTTGATTTTTCAGCTGAAAGAACTTTGCAAAGTGTGGATGAAAGCTTAAGGCGTCTTGGACTTGATTACATTGATGTCATTCAGGTAATTTAAAAAAGCCTTTTCTGAAGGATGACGTAGCCAGCCAGTGAAATAATTTCGGTTGATTGTATTTTTCATGGGAGTGACAAATTGCCTTGTTTTTTTAACTTTCCCATATCCTGTGCCTGTCCCAAAAAATTGTGCAATTTTTATTGGCTGCAACCTTGAATCACGTGCAAGTAAAGTCAAAGAACCAAAAGAACGAGGAAGAGTAATAATTAAGAACAAGAGGTATCACACACAAAAAAATGACCATGAAAGAAAGGATCAGAACTTTGAAAACCAGGGGAATTACAAAATGCATTGAAAGTGATTATAACCTGAAGAACCACAACAGCTGTGAAACCTACATACAAACTACTTGTGGGAGGACTAGGGTGCCCAAAGAAAACAAAAGAAATCCAAGATCCAACTAAAAGGAAATATAAGAATCAGAAAAAAAAACACCAAACTTTCTGACATTATCGACATATGTGGAGATGGTGATGTCAGCTGCTGTTACACTGGACATGAGCTGTGAGGAAATTGCCCTATGATATCCTAAGCAAGGACAGTAAATAACACAGTGATATATAATAACCTTACTTAATCTTTATCATTTAGGTTCATGACATGGAGTTTGCACCTTCATTGGATATCGTCATCAATGAAACTTTACCTGCCCTGCAGAAGGTACATGTAACCTTTGTTCTTGAAGTGGCAATAATTTTATCTTAAATGCATTGTCATCACCCACCTCCATGCAAAAGGAATCCTATCATGCTGATGAAGAGACTTCGTTTAAAAATTATTAATTTTTGTAACGTTTTTGATTATTGCAATTATTCGGGGAAACTTCTTTCTTGATCAAGCAGTTTTAATAATGAAAAATTAATCTTTTTTATCGCTGGTCATTGAAGGATAGTGGTTAAGGCTTATAGCATGTGCACTGTGGCAAACTAAATCACTGTCACATGAAAGAGAACCTAAGATAAATTATGGTTACCAGAAATACTATATTGATATTGATTTCTCTAGTTAAAGGACAGTGGCAAAGTAAAATTTATTGGAATCACAGGTTACCCTTTGGAAAACTTTCGGTAAGTAGCTATCATTATTATTGAACATAATCATTCATCTTTTTTGGGGGAAAACTTTGTGGTTTTTCCTAAGATATATGCAGCATTGTACTCCTTGGAAAGTCGGCGGGGTTTGAAGCTTACCTTCTTGTAGTTCATAATTCGGATTTGTAGCATACATTGCCGTAAAGCTGTCAAGTGGTGGACAGGTGCAGTTTTGATACTGAACTGATGTCTTGTTTCTTACCCTGGCCAGTTTCTGTCTTTATTCCAAAAACATTAGCTCCTGAGGAGATGTTGATTTTATCTAAAATTAATGTATTTTTTCCACCTCGTTCAGGGACGGGTTGGAGAGGACCCTGAGGTTGTATTTTTTTTCTTGATGCTTATTTATAATGTAGTTGTTGAATAATTGCCTGACATGAAAACTTTGCATGTTTGGCAGTCTTTGTAATACACCCAAAAGTTTACTTATCAGTCCCAAAGTCACATTGGGGCCATTTATAAGTAGGAAAAATAAGACGTCTATTTTACTTCATTACTATTGATACATCTTACTTTTAAAGCCCCAAGAATGTTTAACTGGGGCAAGAGCTTAATAAAAAGTGACTGAAGGTCTTAGGGAATCAGTATTTTAAAAGTATTAGTTTTAAGAAAAGACAAACAAAGGTTAAAGGAAGAGCTAGAGTAGTGTTTAGGTTATTTTTTGTTTTGGATTGGAGGCAGTGATTTTCAGGCAGTGATTTTCTGACACGGAAATTGATTAAAATATTTTCCTGATCATTATTTTAGGACTTTTATTTTTTTGTTACAGGAAAAGGTGGGAGAAAAGGAGGGGCTAAATACAGGGTTGTCATTAAGAGCCGGGGGCCGGGGATTTTCCCCGGCTACTAAGAGAGTGGCCCCCGGCTACTTTTATTGGAAAATAGAAGAAAAATAGAACCAAAAGAAATCCCTAGCCGTTTGATTCCCCGCCTACTTGTTGTGTTTACCCGGCAACTTGAAATCTTAGTGACAACCCTGTAAATAACTTTTAATAATACCTGTAGGTGATTAATTATAGGTAATCAAGGCATTAATGATACAGATGTTTTTTTTTAAAATTTTACAGAACAGTTCTGGAGAAAAGTGCAATTCATATTGACACCGTGTTAACGTATTGTCGCTGTACAATGCATGACACGGGATTGCTGGATTACATGCAGTTTTTTGAAGTAAGAATACATTTTAGTAATGAAATGACCATGTGTTTTAAAGCCTGGTTCCCATATGCTGCCGAGCTACCTGCCGAGCTACCTGCTACTGTTCCGATATGAGAAGAGAAGTGGCTCGCAACAAATGCCAAGTGAGTCTTTACTGCCAGCATACCTGTGAAGTTGACTTGAGTTTGACTTCGCAGGCATGCTGGTGGTAAAGACCTGCGATGTCTCTTGTTGCCGGCAGTGTTATGTCCTAGTATGTTGGAGTAGTATTGCAGGCAGTACCAGCAGCTACATCACAGGTATTTTGGTGGCATATGAGAAGTTACCAGGCTTAAGAGTCACTTAACTAGGGGAAGTCGTGAAACTAATAATTATTATTGAAACAGTAGTGTCATTGACAAAATACACTATGTGTATGCTTTACAGTAGAAAATTGTGTTGATCCCCTGTACATGTAACTTGCTATTTGTTTGAGCAGTATTAAAAGCAATTGCAAATAGTGAAGTTTTGATGTAACTTCTGTTAATAAGCACTTTCACAGAAATTCCTTCAATAATTCTTTTACTGTTGTACAAGTAACATTAAGATGGAAGGAAAAGCACCCCAGAGAGCTTGCTCACAGGCTAAACATTTATTATACCAAAATAATTTCATTGTACTTATACAGTACTTTTATTTTGTAACAACAGATGTTTTAGTAGGTTTTTTTTTCAAGTTGCAAATGCATCTTTGGGTTTGTCAATATGTTGACATAATTATTGAAAAAATATGTTGGCAGTTTACAATGTTGAGTGCTATTCTTTTGTGGCTTAGGAGCACGGAGTAGGGGTTGTGAATGCCTCTCCAATATCCATGGGATTGCTTTCTAGTCGTGGTCCACCTGCTTGGCATCCAGCCAGTGAAACTCTTCGCAGTAAATGCAAGGAAGCTGCAGAGTTTTGTCAGGTTTGTGATACTAAGATAATAACAAAGATTTTTGAGATCTAGTTATAATTATCAATCTAAAATCAGGGTTAAAATAAAAACTTAAATTCCAGCTTTTTCTTTGGGCAAGTAACTCTGACATTTTGCTTGACTGGGGCCACTTTGTCCTCATCTTCTAAAGTTAGCTATTTTATTACAGGATGTTTTTTCTGCATCTTCGCCCATTGGGTAATTATGCTTTAAAAGTTACTTGCCTAGCAAGAAAATCTACTTAGTTCATACTGGACAAGCAGACAAACGTTTTTTTATAGCTCTTTTATAATAAGTTTATTTCTATCACACCTAATAGATAACAAGACTCTTCATTTAATGACTTTAATTTATAAGTGACTCTCAATTGAATGTCAAATTGTCCTTTTGTTTCACAAGCAAATATAAAACAATCTGGAAGGAGAATCTTGAAGTGTATCGGATGTTTTCGCCAGGAAAAGGCTTCCAGGGAACTTTTTAAAGCTCAACTATTTTTTTGTTGCCTTTAATCCTTTAATAAATAATGTGTAAAACATGAAGTGCTATCTTAAATTTAAACTTGTGAAAAATCTTAAAAAATCTTTTTTCGTCTTCAAAACAGAGATTTCCCTCCAAAAATGTCTGCCTCATAGCGCGACCAAATTAACAAGAGTTATGTAGAATGATTTGTAAGAATGTAGAGTAAAATTAACAAGATGGCGGCAAATACAAAGGATTGTTGTTGTCTACAACCCCTGGCTAGTCCTCAATTTTATACAATAATGAATTTAATGTCTTTCAGGCTGAAAATGTTGATATCTCCAAACTTGCCCTTTATTTTACCTTGGACGTAAACAATATTCCCACCACCCTTGTTAGTACTGCAAGCATTGGAAACCTTCAAAAGAACATTGATGCAGTTAGCCAGAAGTTAACAGATCCAGAAAGAACCCTTTTGGAGTACATTATGGACTTGTATGTGACTTTTGACAAGCTTTATAATATTTGGGGATCAGTATTTACAGTGAGACTAGGTACTAAAACCGGGGCCACCTAGACAAAGTTGACCAATCAGATGACAGGAAAATAACAACATTACATTCCAAGAAAGTTAGTTGTCAATCATAATTTCCACAAAATGAAGTAAACAACATGGATTGAAATCAACTAATCACAACCTACAGACGTGACCTTTTGAACCCACCAAGAAAGCCCATGTTTCCTGAGAGGTCCGCTAGAGTGAGTGACAGAGGCGAAAATTTAAATGTTAGGGTAATAAGATTTTGGGTAACACCTTAGTGGCACAATTTACGCCTCCTGTATAAACCCAACATTTTGCCCTATGAAGTTAGTGTAAACATTGGGTTAGGGTGTGTATGTAGGTGGGTAGGAAGTCTAGCAAAGACTTAAAAAATAGAATATTTACCAGGAGTAGTACATCCATCCTCCAGCCATTCACAGTTCACCAATTTGAAAGATTTGCCTATTTTTTTTAACAAAGGGAAAAAAAGAGCCATTCCCCCCAGTGACTTTTCCAGCATTTTCCCACAACCTTTTGTTTAATTAAGAACATTTTCCTTTGCAGTTTTTTTAGAACAAGTGGCAATCTTTCATGGGAAGGTGTTGAAGTTAGAAAATACTGGCAAAAGATGAAACAACTCCAGCCTGATATGGTTCCAGAACAGCACCGATGAGGAGAAATTTTTAGGACTTTGAATGTGGGAAAATGTTTTCCTGGCTTGTTAATCAGCCAGGTATTGTTAAGAGGTAATAAAGTGAGAGTTTGTCTACTAGGAAAGAAAGCAAAAATGAGGGGAAAAAGGTATTGAGAATAGTCTAGCTTTCATTTGAATGGTCACCCCACAGACCTTTGACAAATGTGCACATGTACAAACTCAAATGTAAGAATCACAGTCATGTACATGCATGTCTTTAAAGGCATTTACCAGTATAGACAATATTAAAAGATTTCAAGAATTTTATTAAAAAAGGCATCTCAGTACTGTTCAATGGTACCTAGATCAATAAATAACTTTTAAATTATTTAAATAAATTATACCTAACATTGTTTATGGAGATATTGTACTCAATGAATTGTTTTGCTCAGCTGGTGCAGAAGCCCTCACCTGAGTAAGTACATGTAAGACAGGTCTAAAAAACACTGCATGTACAGCAAAATCACATCTGCTAGCAGAGTAACACATGTAGTTATGTAGAAAAGAACTACCAGTATTAAATGTGACTCTTTGTGTAGTCATGTGGGTTAGCAGGCATGCATACTGTCCAAAGTCCTTAGATTCAGCAAACAGAGAAGTGCATGAAGCCCTAAATTGACTTTTGATCTCATGTCAGTTTCTCCCCACGTTCCACATTATTACACAAAATAAATTGGGGGAAGAATTTAGACATTCAACAAAAGTTACTTGGAGCTAAGTTGTTTTCACACACCCTTTTAGATGAGGCCTTCCTTGTCAATAATATCTAATAAAAACTGCAAAGCATTTTGCAAAGATCAATAAAATGAAGTGAAATTGTTGTTTAAGATGCTATTCATGTCAATTAAACTTACCGATGTTGAGACGTACATCGCTGCCCTTTCAGGGTGAGCAAACTGAACTTCTCAAATAGGCTACTACTTTTGAACATGTCAGATTGCCCATTGTTAACCCAGTTTGGACAGTATAGCATCATAAATAACATGAATTTTTACTCTATTTCAATCAGCCTTTCCTTGTCACCCTTCACTTGTGGTCAGGGGTTTTTATTGTTGGGAGGGAGGGGCCGTTCCCCTACTTTCCATAGGCAGCAATTTCATACTCAGTGATCAGCAACCCTGATTTGCTAATAAGGGCTGAATCTTCACAGTTTTTCCTTCTCCTTCCTTTAGAAGTAGTATGTAGATGTGATCCCATCTGTCATATCCTATTGAGTTCTTTTCTGTGGGCTGTCACATCTAACCAATCCACTGTTTTGTAGTCAAAGATATCTGGTCTTCTTAGTTCCTCTAACTTGTCGCGATCTGAACACCATGGTAGCTGTTGAGCTATCCTGTCCATCAGAGCGCTCTTTGGTGAACGTCCTCTCTTGTATGGCTGGTTATAAAAATGATTTAATGTGATGTGAACATCAGGGTTCATACTTTAATACAAAAATATTTAGAAGTATTCATCCCAGTAGAGATGTAACTTACTGCATGTGGTATCGAAGTCAAGGTTACTGGACAGGTGATAACGATGATGATAATGATGATGATGAAGGTGATGGTGATGATGAGTACATGATGGTTCAAGATGTTGAGTGTTTTCCTAATCGTCTGAAGTTTATGGCATGCACAAGGAAAGAGACATTCTGTAGCTTGGAAGTTTGATCCCTTTAATATCAAAGGTTTTATGCAAGAACCAGAGTAGATAACAAGGTACCATTATTGGGTGGTTCCAGAAAATAGTGGTATCTAGCCATTACCCTGCAATGGAAAGTCTTGCACAGCTATTTTTAAGGGCCAAGACCCCACTCCAGCCCTCCCTTGGGGAGTTTGTTAAAAATGGTCAGCCTTTCAGAACCTCTTTAAAAACAGTTAACAATGTGGTATCAATCAAAATCAATCTGCAGTGAGCTTGTGGCCAGTGTACCTACCCCTTTTGTCAAGATAAGTGATGATTCCCATTCTGGATCCCTCTCTTTATAAGTTATCATCTGTTTTCTGTAGCCATCTTTGGAATTCAAGAAGTCTTGATCTTTGTAGGCTAGATGATAAAAAAAATAATGAAATTAATTTTTGTTGAAATATTTAAAATTTAAGAAAAACAATCAACATTATTACACAATTTTTGAAAATGTGGCAGTAATGTGATAGGATATTGTAATAACCACAAAAAGGAAAAGGAAAAAGAAAACACTGCAACAGGTTTACTTACGTTCATACAATACATTCAAGTTTCTGGAGTGGAACTTGAGATTCCCAGGGTCATGTTCATAGTCAGTGGTGAACTCTGGCAGGCCATACTTTTTTGGATTTTCCAGCTACATCGATATTGACAGAAGTATATAATGAAAAAAATAATAGTAATATTGGGCCAGCTTCTAAGTATATAAAGACATTACTTCTGAGATAATATCTGACTTTGGTTCACAATTTGGTACTTTTCTTTCTTTTTTTTCTCTCTCTTTCTCTCCTTTGAAATTATATCGAGGACGCACTCTCTCTCAAGGGGAGAAAAAGGAACAAAAAAACTAATCTCCACCTGCTAAGCAGGCTAATGAAACCTTGTTAAAGTGAATGAATATGGCCGGTCCAAGGTTGGCACATGCCCATCCTGTACAGGGCACTTAGCTGATTGGGAGCTCTGTGCAGAGTCAACACACAGTGGCGAAATTTATCCCAGAGACAAATTCTCCAGTTGATTTTACAGCTGAGATCTCGGCAAGCAAGCTAGCCTGCCTTCTCATATAAACACGACAACAATTTTAAGAGGAAATAAGGCATGAACTGAGCAAGCTTGGCTCTCACCTCATATAAACAAGCCCTCCGATGGATAATTCCTTTTAAGTGGACAAAACGCTGACCCCCCAGTCCATGGACTACCTCTATGTATTACTAAGGTATCCATATGGACTGAGTGAGTCAGTTAGTTTCAGGTCAGTTTTCCCGTTATAATGACCCTAAATGGAACCTGATTCACTCAGTCTCCTAACACTATAATCACTAAACTTCAGCGGCGTAGTCCATGGAATGCAGTCACTGTTTTGTCCACCACCTTTGTTTCAGTATAAATTCGCCTTGTGTCACTACCATGGTTCAATTTTTATCTCCTTTGTTTTCAACTCATTATCCTTCAGAAACGTACACAAGAACAAAGGATATACAACTGTAAATGAACCACAAAAATCACCAGCAAATGAGTTCACGCAGACAAAAGTATTAATTTCCGCCACCCGAAGTACTTACCGGCCTGAAATCATCTCCTCTGAAGGCATGTGGTCCTGGTGCAGTATAAGGTTCCCTCCTGTGAATACCATTCCTCACATACATTATTTTAGCTTGATGAGAATCAGGAACACGGAACAGGGTCCTGAAAGGTGGTTTATCCGATACTGGTTGTTGTAGAATTTTTGGTAGCGGGATAGGTTCGAACTGTACTCGCTGCCTCCTCTTCTCTCTGGCTTTTTTGTTCCATTCGTCCTCGTTGTAACCAGGTATCATGGCATATCTACTGTTTCTTTTCGGTGGCTTTGGCTGATAGAGTTGTAGTGTGAAGTCAGGAGGTCTCATATCCCATGGAGTTCTATTCTTTATTTCCTCCTCGCGAATTAGTTTGTCACGCGCGCGCTTCGATTCCAGAAAACATTCACTTCGAGATCGAAGCAGATCTTGTGCGGCATTAAAATCTCTTTGAGAGCGGAAACTAAACGGCAATTCGTCGCTTTGTCTGAGGCTCAATTCTGAAGCACTGGCACTTTTCGCCCGCATGATTTCTGGCTTTCCGATTTCTTTCTTTCGCCGGCTTAATACCACTTGTTGAATGTTCGACGAATGCAATAGAATTCACGATATTGAGCTCTAATTACGTGACTGATTAACCTGACGGGACATGATTTCTTTAACTAACATGCTACAGCGATGATTAGAGGAAAAATTAAAGAAATGGTGTAAAAACTACGATAACGTGAAAAGAGCAGCTGCCGCGAGTGTGAACTTGCTGCAATTTGTAAACATTTAGTCCGTTGTCATGACGGCGAAGATTTTCGTGTGCATTTGAGTGTGACGGAAAGACTAGAGGAGAGATATACGAAACCGTCGGGTCTTCTCAATTTAATCATTTTGTGTTTTCTCAAACGATGAACTTGCTTCTTTGCATTTAATACCAGGGAGGAGAAATGCCGTCTTTTTAAAAACTTATTTTTTCAAGTTTTTCAACTGATGCCCAGGAGACCTGTTTCTTGAAAGTCCCGATAACTTTTCGGGCCCGAAAAGCTGTTTAATGTTTGCCGTGTTTTCATTCAAGATCAAAGTTTCAATAATTTTGAAAATGATACAATGAAACTATCAGTTAATGAAGCAAAATTGACTGGTTTGTGGGCTAGGAACTGTGCTGACTATTCAACAGGCTTTGATTTCAAAATTTGCCTTTAGGGCCCGAAAAGTTATCGGGACTTTCGAGACACGGGCCCCTCAGACTCGCAAATATAAAAGAAAGCCTGCGCAAAAACCGAGAATCAGATCCAGTGAGAGACAGATCTAGTATCACTTTTACGGCTAAAGATCAGCGTCACTTTGTACCATGTGACTAAGTTTTCCCTTAACTTACCATTTCCTGTATCATTACTGCCCTTAATGTAAAGGTATTTTTGAGCGATGTACGTCAACCGGAAGTGGTCCTTTTGTATTCTTTGGCAGGTGTTTTTGACGGCAAATCGTCTCTTTTCGACGGTATAGGATAGACAGCAATACAAATACATCACTTCCGATTGACGTGCGGCGCTCAAAAACAAGATATAGAGGATTTCATGTCTGTTTAATCAAGTAATCGGCTCCTGGTAAGTTTTAATCCTTAAGAATTTGTAGAATCAGTTTCTACTTTCTGCTCATTCCTAATTTGAGAAATGAAAGGGGGGGGGGGTGGTTACTCCCTTATAGCCATATAGGTATGTGCCGCCCCAAAGGGCATAGGCGTACGGGAAATTTTTTTGCCAGGGGGGGTGGTAAACCATTTGCCCAAAAAAATCTTTCAAGTTGCCCAAATTTTTACGAAAGAGTCGAAAAGAAATGAGGGCCATATTACAACAACGTAGGCCGTCCTGGCATATAAAGGTGGCTCGATACAGTTTTCCAGGGTCAATACCAAGTCTGAGCATAAACTACGTCGCCATAAACAAACATTTGGAAAAATTGCGATCACAGTTGTATTAAGATGACAATTTGTCATCATCAGGGCTGCAATGACATCGGAGTTGTCATAGCAACGAAATGACCCCCATTACCTATTTTACTTCAGCAATGATTCTCGGCACGGGGAACCTTACAAAATCGTTCAGAGGAGCTTTTTTCCTCCAATACGGTCGAGATATTTTGGAAAAAGTTTTTATTATTGAAAATACGGTAAGAAAAGGAAAATCTTGATGTATGGCCGTTATCTGTAGAAAACGAAGCGCTTTTGACATGCAATTTCACCTCGAAGTAGTTTTAATCTTTTAAAAACATGTGTGAAAGGTCGTGGAGATAGCTTTGCTTGATTGCTAGAATCGAAAGAAGGATTTGATTAGTATGTATCCGGGCACTCTTGTTAGCGGTTTTGCAAACATTTCGGTCTGCTTTGACAAATTAGCGAATAATTTTAAACCGGTCGATATATTTTTTAAAAGAATTAAGATTCTTCCCGTTATACTACTACATGAGAAATTTCTGCAATTTGATTGGCTTAGAGCAGTGGTACGTATAACAATTTTGAAATATCACTCGTGGTATTTATGCCAAATATCACTACAAATCATGCTATTACCTATACTAATTTAAACTGAGAATTCAGTAGTCAGCCACTTCTTCATTTTCATACCCACTGCTAAAGCTATCTGCCATACACTGTTCTTCGAGTGGAGATGATTCTAGAAAGTTATGCGAAAGTTTATTTTAATCAATTCACGACTGGAAATAGCCCATTCCAGCTAGTGCAGTGCAGTGTAGTGCCCAACCATGAAAAAACTGTAAATATGTAAATTACTCATCTCATGCTAGGCAACCGCTGTGATGTAACTGGATTATCACGCCGACTCAGCTTAATATTCAGGTCTTCAAAATAAATAAATAAACATGGTGACGTCTTTAAAAAATGACTTTGCCCAAGTTTTCTCTCGCTGCTCAAAAAATCTGAGTTGCCCAAAATTTGGGGGGGCTGCATCACCCCTCGCCCCCCCGGCCCGTACGCCTATGCCAAAGGGTATGGTTTTGGGGCCTTTTTGGTCTGAAAACGGGTATACACTTTGCCCATTTTTGTCTGGAATCGGGTATAGTTTTCGAGGGAATTACGGGAGTGTAATGAACGTCTTTATCGTTTCAAATCCACGTGAATAAGAAAGAAATAGAAATATGCGAGTTCGAAAAACATTTGAAGAAATTTTTTGTTTGCGTTCTAATCTATTAAGTAGGATCTAAGCAGCAGAAACCGGTAACGGCCTTTGAGAAAGTGGAGAACCAGGCGGCACACCCCCATCAAGAATTCCCAGGAGTATCCCCCCCCCTGGGGAAATGAACTTGGGTCTGATATTTGTCATAGACATGATTCTAAATCTTTCTTATAACCTCAACACCCTTTTCTTCGACTGACGTTTGGTAAAAACCAGGGTAAAAACTTGTTTTCGTTTCTCCTCGATCCGTACGCACTGCGTGAAGTACGCGTTGCGTGCCTGTTTCTCTCCATTTTTTTTTGTCACACCTAACCGTAGCATACATGACGTTATAGTTTATGAGGCGTCCGTTAACCACTTGTTGCGACGTCTGTTGCTGCTTTGTTTTCAAGAGTTCAAGGAAAATATTTACAAAACACAGCTGAAAGATATGGAGGACTTTCACAAACGGTACACTAGAATATGTAGGGAACAACATACGTACCCGTTAGATGCTGTTTTAAATCACATTCGGCGTTATTTGGATAGCGGATTGTCTGGCGAAGAGAGCGTGAATGATGCAGAGGAGATGGCGAAGTTAGATCTTTCTGGTTACAACCTAACACCAGACGATTGTAACGCCTTAGCTACGGCACTTGCAGATGATCTATTCTTTGAAGAGCTCAATCTTTCCGACTGTTTGCTTAGCGAGGAATCAAGCAAAATACTTCTTCGCGGTTTGATGGACAACCAAGCTATCAAAAGATTGAGTTTGAAAGGCAACAACATTCGTTCGGGAGCTGCAGAAATGTTAGGACAGTTTCTCAAGAAAAATACCTGTGTTCGAAGCCTTCTTGTTGAATGGAACGCGCTTGGTTTGTGGGACAGTGGAATGAGGGCTATTTGCGAGGGTCTGGCGATAAATCAAGTGTTGTTGTTCCTTGATTTGAGAAACAATCAGATCACACATGAAGGGGCTAATCATCTTGCTGTAGCATTGAAAAGAAACCATTGTTTAAGAGGCCTGGATTTGAGATGGAATAACATTGGTCTTCTTGGGGGAAGAGAGCTGCTGGAAGCCTTAAAATATAACAAAAGACTTGTAGGATTAGAACTAACAGGTAAAAATAATATACGTGCGAGGGTGCTGCCTAAAAAATTTTTTTGGGAACCTTTCGGTCTGATAACCTAAAATAAAAAGTTAGCAGCCCGAGCCACATTTCTAGGAGCCCATTGTTCAATAAAATTTTAATTAAAAATATAAGTAAGCAGATGCTCGAAACTTGATTCATGAGTGTTGAAACTCGAGTTGTTTGAGTTTCGGATTTCCAGAAAAGGGCTTGTTTGCTTACTTTTATCAGGGGACAATTTTTGCCTAAGGTCAATGAAGACACATTTAATGTTTTCATTTCAAATTGCAAAATGAGCAGGGAATTCTGTCATTCGTTAATGGGAAGTAGGCATAGAGGCTATTGCCATAAGAATCATTTAGGCATCCATGCGGGCTCCTTGTTTAAAATTTTAGTCGCCTGTGAGCAAATTGAAGGAGCCTCTGGCAACCGGGCGCCAGTTAGGCAGCAACCAGGACATGTACAGGGAATTATACACCACTCCCCTCTACCACCACCGGTATTGGCAGCCAGGTGTCACTGTCAGCGTGCAAAGAAAGTTGTGTCCGATAGCCCGGGGCCAGTGGATTTCGCTATCGGGCTAGTGACTTTTGTTCTTAACTTGCCCAACGGGCAAGGGCTGTGTTTTGGGGAAATTCAAATTACAGAAGGATTGCAATCAATCCTGCTAATCAAAAAGCCAGGTTTTGGAGCTAGTTGAAATGAATTGAGGGCTAGTACATGTTAGCTACAACTTGTCCGAATGGCAGGCTGTAAAACTGACTTTCTTTGCACCCTGCACTATACAGTCAACCACCGTTATTACGGACACTAAGGGGGCCATAGAAAGTGTCAGAATTAATGGGCTGTGCGTATTAAGTGGGTCATGTTAAAAATGCTCCTTTTAATATAACAAAATACTAAAGAAATATATTAACAGGACATAAGCATTGTCAAATTTATTACAGCACACAGTGTCCGCATTAGCAAAGTTGACTTTCTATGAGAATCTGTTCATTGGGCATGAAACAAGTGTCCTTTGACCACATAAACTGGTGTCAGTATTAATCAGAGGTTGAATTTAGAAAAAATCTATGGGCTTTGCACAAGGACACTGCAAACTATCTGTAATAATGAGGTGTCTATATTAAGTGGGTGTCTGTTAAGAGCATTTTGACTGTACCATATCTTTTAGCTGCAATTCTTTCAGAAGGGATGCTTGACATTACTAGGAGACTGAACTCTGAGTTTTTACGTTGGTTTTTTTTCCACAGAATAAGATCACTTTGTTCCCTTTGTAGCAAAATTTAATAATTCAAATAATTTTACAGTAAGTCATAGTTAACATAATGTCAATTTTATGACATTTATCTTTTACAGGTAACAACATTCCTCATGATATTGTCAATGCTTTGTCTGTTGCCATTCAACAGAACAGTGACAGACAGGTAACATTTGAGGAGCACAGGCAAAAGACTGAAGCTTTAACAAGAGAATTAGAAATGGCTCAGGAACGTAAACAACAAGAGGTATGAATCCATCTGTTCAAGATCATTTTGCACAGAACAATGATATCATAATAATTATGATATTATTTTATTTATTATTACCTGTTGTCTGGTTGATTGTCGCCAAGAACAGTACTATTTATTCATGAAATCTACGACAATGTTTCCACAACCTTGGCTAAAGTTATTGTCAGAGTCAAACACCGATGATATTTGCAAAGGGTTTTCTTGTTGCTGTTGTTTTTAACTTTTTCTCAAACTCATCAATAATTTGTAAAGAAAATAGAAAGGAAATTAATGTTGAATGAGTGTTTGGAAACCAGATGAAAAACTGTTCATTTTTGCATCCTTAATTTCTCCTGCTAAAATCATTTTGTTTGAGAAGTAATATCAAGCATTTGACTCAGTGTTTCATCACCAGATGAAACACCTCGAAAATTGTCAAAAATACTTGCTGGCATCGTATTTTCAACTCTCTTCTTGGTGTTTGATCTGGTGATGAAACACGGCGTCTCATGCTTGATATATTACTTGAAAGTCTTTCACTAAGGAAAATAAAATTTAATGTTTTCTTCCTAATTGAAGTGGAGCATTTAATGCTTTGTTTTTGGCAAGGAGACCTCAACAAACCACCAGACTTGCGGGTTGTCAGTTGTCAGAAACTGTTAGTGAAATTGCATGTTAGTCACCTTAATGAGTGCCTCTACCAACTTTTTTTGAGAAAGGGAATTTTTTAGAAACTTTTAAGGCTAAATTTTTTTTTCGTGCACCTGTTCTGCTGATTGTGAAATTGACAGGCTCATATGTGATGTCATAAGGTAAATTAATTCAGGAACTGATTAAATTGGGATTTTATGCATGGCTATCCCCTTCTTAGAGTCACCAGTGTTGTTGCATCTAATTATAATGCATCTTACCGACAGGTGGTTGATTAATAATATTGTTCTGGAATCTCTTTTGTTTGCAGGTTTCAAGTTTAAGAGAAGAAATTGACAAGCAGAGATCGAGTCATGAACTTCTGACAAGAAGCACACAAAATCAGATAGATCATTTAAAGTCAGCGTTGGAAGAACGAAAAGCAGCATTTGATTCTTTGTCATCAAAACTCTCGTCCGCTGAGTCTGAATTGCTTCTTTCAAAGAAAACCATCTCTGAACAAAAAGTTGTTGTAAAGAAGTTGGGCACTGAACTGCAAGACGAAAAAGAACAGAAGGCCATGGCAGAAAAACAGCAAAAAAAGAAATATAACGAGGTGCTGGAGAAAAACCAAGAGCTAGAAAACATCATCAGTGTCCTTGAGCGAAAAAACAAGAGCTTGGAGAATAAGATACGGTCTTTAGAAGAGGATATGGAGAGAATGGAAAGACAGTTTGCTGAGAGAGGAAAAGCTAGTGATCAAAAATTTCAGGAAGAACTCCTCAGCACAGAAAACAGGTTGCAAAAAGAACTGAATCAACTGCAGCAAAAGGCTTTAGAATATCGAGAAGCTTCAAGGGAGAAAGTGAAGAAGTTAGAGGAAGATAAGACTGCTTTTGAAGAGGAAATAAGCAGCTTGAAATCTCAGTTAGTCTCTCTAAAACTGACATCAGATGAGGAACTAAGGAATACCAAAACAAGATTAAAGCAGGAGGAAATAACTCGGTCAAGGCAATATGATGAACATATTTCCCAGGTTCAAGCTGCACAGAATGAGCTACAAATACAGAGTACAAAACAGCTGGCACAAATCACAGATTTGCAGTCACAGCTTAACACAGTAAACAGAGATAATGAGGCTTCTAAGAGACAACTGGAAACACGTAAACAACAGCTAGAGCGCAAGGATGCAGATTATAGGAATGAAGTTAGTCGATCAAGAATTGAACTTGATTCGGAGAGAAAGACACATGCTGAGCTAAGAGACAAGATTTCTGACTTAGAGGATAAAATCTCTGATATGTCCCGAAAACACAAGGATGCTATCTCATTGAAAGATAATCAGTTGGAGCTGTTAAATGAGCAACTGAGAGCCAAAGAAAATGACATCAAAAGAATTCATGATGAAGAAATGAAGAGGGCAGAACTTTTGGAGAAAGCGATTTATAGTTATGTGTCAAGCATAAAAAATGCCTCTCGACCTGGCTCACCATACAGAACTTAGTAAGCAGGTAGTAAGAGTTAGATAAGTATTTTTATTATATAAACGCAAATGAAGTACCAGGACGGTGAGCTTTTGCACAAAAACGTGATATCTTCACATGTGAAAAGATCACCACTGCTATGGCTACATAATAAATTGCACCTTTTACAGCAGTGGTTTGGTATTTAATTGGTGTTTATACAATAAGTAAAACATTTCATGGCCCCTTGAAGATACGAAAATTCTCTTCGTGAGTTGAAAATTAGTCCACTCATTCCCTGCGCTCTCTGGGGTTGTACTGGAGTGTAAGGGTTGTCTAAGATGGTCAAACTTGAACAGTCTAAAAGAACAGCTCTACAATTTTACAGGTACAGACTAGAGGTTCATTTTTATATGGAGAAAATCGTTCATACCAGTATTTGGCCTTTGTGGTATCTGACACATCATCTAGAACGCTTTGGCGGCCTTTTCTTGTTTCATTGCAATTATGATGTTAGTATCCTTCCACTGAATATTTCTCTATTCTATCTAGAATTACTGCAGTGGTGGTCAGAATTTAGAGATACGTTCTCTTCAGAAAAAGACTGGCGTTATATTCTTTGGAATAACAAACAAATACTCATTAATAATAAAACAGTTTATTATAAAAGCTATTTCGAAGCTGGTGTAGTTCACATCAGCGATCTATCCTTTGACTTAAATAACAAAGATTCCTTTTCCTTAGTTTCTAACAAGATTTCTAAAACTAATTTTTTAGTTTGGGCAGGTCTTCGACACTCCATCCCTTCCATTTTAAAAATTTGTACTCATAAATCATCAACGGGTGAACTTTCTCTAAAAATTGACGATAATATATTTGATGTCACAAAGAAGAAATCTAAAGACTATTATACTTTACTTGTAAGCAGAAAGGCTCTCTTTCCAACTAATGTAAACAAGCTGCAAAATGAATTTCATTTCACACTCGAGGAAGTTAAACAAATTTTTATGATCCCGCATAGTGTTGCTCTTGAAGCATATGTTAAGGCATTTCAATACAAAATTCTTAACTCCATTCTCTATACTAATGCTAAACTTTACAAAATTGGCTTTAAATTTAATGACTCGTGCTCATTTTGTTCATCTGAACCAGAAACGCTATATCACTTCCTATATCTTTGTCCTTTCTCGGTTGATTTCTGGCGTGACTTCAAGTATTCTGGCACCAACTTTTAAAGGAAAACATTCGACTTTCGTTGCAAGATGTTTTAGTTGGAATGATACGACAAAACTCCCCTTCTGCTAAGCTTCTAAACTATCTAATTATGATTGGGAAATTGTACTTGTGGGATTGTAGAAGAAGTCAAATTCTTCCGAATATATATGGATTTAAAAAGAAAATTGCTGTAAAATATGAAACGGAAAAATATATAAGTCTGCATAGTAAAAAAACAAAGGATTTCTTTGAAGCTAAATGGATAGTGTCGCCTCTTGTAAATGCTTAACTATTTAAAGGTTTTAATATGCATCCACTTTCTGTATGTAATTAATATATTATTTACATTATATTTTGTAAACATTTCTAGTTTGTTTGAATATCAGTGTTAATTTGTTGTATTATATTATTAGTATTAGTAGTATTAGTTGTAACATTATAATTATGTAGGTAAGTAACTAATTTGCTGTATTAATATCAATTTGTTTCAATAAAGAATAAAAGTATTTGGCCTTTGTAATGATTTAATTTTAACACATTTTGTGTGTGAAAATAAGGAGTGACTTGGTTAGAGAATAAACAGTTATTGCTTATAGACAACATAAGAGAGTTTTTGTGGTCCAAGAAAGTAACAAAAAATGTTGAAGTGTGTATCGACCAAGCATTCTCTTGTACAGACAATGTATGGATTCTGAGGCTGTTCTTTGGTCTGTGTCAGTTTGTCTATGGGGGTTCAAATAATAATTATTTGAACCCCCAAAGACAAACTGACACAGACCAAAAAACATCCTCAGAATCCATACATAGTCCAACTCAATACAATTATTGTATTGAGTTGAACTTTATTAATGATGTTGATCCAGTTTTGAGAGGGTTGAGCCAAACTGAAACAAACATTAACTTAGTCATAAATCTTGTTGCAATGTATACTGTGTCTGTCAAATTAGTATTCTTGCATAGTAGAGGCTAGATTCCACATTATTTTACCCTCCTGTTATGCTTAAGTTTGCTACAGAACAGTGCCAAATCCTTGCACGTACATGAAAAGAAGTAAACAAAATGTAGCCTGGTCTCCCCTTTTCAGTATTATTTATTCTTCAAAAGGGAAACATAGTACGTGTGACAAAATAGTTCTGAGCTGTTGAGCTTCAAAAGCTAAGTGACTGTGATATGCAAAAAGCATATAAAATGTATGTTTTAAGCAAGTGCTGATTATTAAAAAGTGTGAAAGGGCTGACCATTTTATCTGCAGCGTTTTATTTGTATCTTACTAGTAATTGCCTGCTAATAGGTGTTACCGTTGTTAGCATGTACATGCATCATGATTAAATTTATAATGTGTTCTACTGAAGATCTTTAATTTTATCTTTTTTGAGAGTATACAGTCTTTTAGGGACCTCTTATTTAATATAAGAGCTGAGCTTGTGAATTCTTCTGACCACTAAATATGCTTACTTATTTTTTTTCCTCGCCATTTCACATTTCACTAATGCAATCTCTCCAATAAAAAGTAAAAGGCTACCCGGTCAGGAATAAATCCCAAAGTGACTTCTGATCAAGTGCGCAATGCTTCCTTCCAATTTTAGTTCTATATGCTTGTAAATCAAAGAAAGAATAATTTTATTATGACCCCCAATTGGACAAGGAGTTGCTTTGGACTTTATTCCACACACCCCTGAAACTAGTATTTAACTATTATTGACTAGTATTTGGAGTAAAGCTGTTAAGAAACTTTTATCTTTGTATAATGTTAACATTACAAACTTCAAGTAAACAACAGATCAAAGCAAGTTCAACTGAATATCCATTTAAAAACGTTTATTGCTATTTTTCCTGAGACTGTGATTTAACATCACAATACTTGTTTCTGTTGCTATTTTCAGTATATGTAAGGTTGTGTTCTTGCACTGTATACTCACTACGAAACTCTTGGGAAAGAAATGTTTGTGCAAAGTTGGTTAAAAAGTATGCAGAGCACTGAACAACATCTCCTGCATCAATTCCAGATACTTTTTCAGTTGCTATTATTTCACACAATGTACGCTTGTACCAGTTTGGATGTCCTTCTAATTCGTCCAGCACACTGAGAACATTGTGATCCACTTCATAGATTTCACCATGAACTTGCTGTTTAAAAGAAAACACATCAGCTAATTAATATATTTGCAAATTTATTTACTGCCAAGCAAATAGCAGGGCAGCATGTTTTTTAATACATAGCGGAAATTTTACTCTGTTTAATAGATATTTTCCTGGGCATTGACTTGATGTTATCAAGGCTGTGCTCTAGCAGAGCCCGGTGGCTTGTGGCACCCTCTTTTGTTCTCAGGCGACTAGAAAATCTTTGCTTTTTCATAGAAATCATATGCTGGGCACACTGGATTTCACAAGTTCAGAGCACTGGGCTCCCTTTAATTTTTCTTAGAGCATAGCCTTGGTTATGTCATCTAAATTAGCACCAGTAACATGTGTGCATACTTAGAATGTACCAAGGAAAAAAGATACTTTTGTCTAACAGACGATTTTCAGGGTGAAGCACAGCCCAGGACCAGGCTCCTTGGAAGGGAAAAGAGACAAATAACAGGGTGCTGTCACAGATGGGGAAACGGCTCCTTTCCTTCCTTAATATCATAGGTGATGAATTACTCCTTAATTTTGGCGCGAAATTTCAGCGTTAATTTGTAATTTCACATGTGAAATTACTAAATTGCCTTGGCAACCTGCCGTGCGTCTCTGTTTCAAGATGGCGAGGAAGCTTTAAAATGTCATGAATGAAGATGTCAGGGCACAAAAAGACGCTTTAGAAAACCTGAACACACAAGAGAACATCAAGAAGGATTCTTAGAGGTATTTGGTTGAAAAATTCTGAAAACTTAAGCCAAATTTTAGCTCTAAACGTTTGAGAGAGTGGAGTTCATGATCGATCGATACGATCCAGGATAAACAAGTCAAAAATCCTCGATTGCGAACGTAATTCGTCACCCATGATATTAATAGGTAATCAAATGGCATACTCGTGAAATTAGGGAATAATTTCACTTGCGTTTGTCCAAATCCTTATAATTTCCCGAGCCTTTTTCACTCGTCACCATTTGATTACACATACTAATCCTCTGCTTTGTTGGACTCTTTAATCACACTAGCCCGATTATTTGTCCTTTTGTCCACAAGGAGGTTGGTCCGAGGCTAATAATGAAACATAAAAATTTTCTTCTTTCCACATCGCCCAAGTTGACAAACAAATTTTCAGTAGATATCTTTAAACAACTCAGTTGACAACAGGACATAAAACATTTGGTTTTATTAGAATTACAGGTAATATATTCATAATTAGTATAGGTAATAGCTAGCATGATTTGTAGTGATATTTTGAAATTGTTATACATAATTTCACGAGTCGTTAGGCGTGTGAAATTTGAGGTAATTTTGAAATATCTCGAGTGGTATTTATGCCTAATATCATGTACAAATCATGCTATTATTTGTTTATACTACTACCTGCAAAGGTTTTGTAATTTTCACATGTAGGTATTTCAAATTAAGCTGAAATACCACTGCTCTAAGCCAATCAAATTGCAGAAATTTCTCATGTAGTAGTATAATAAAAATAATTCAATTTTTATAGTGGTACCTTTCCTTTGCCTTCCAAAGGTAGCAGAAATGGAATACCTGCATCTGTTCCAACAACCAGTGGATAAGCTTCCTTTGTCTGGCCTTTTGTTAGAAACCTAACCACTCCATGCAAGCCATCCTGCATTAGATAGTGATTTGCAAATCCTTTTTTCAAAGTGCCATACACAAACACCCTCACAGTCCCTTCCATAACAGAAAACCTGCTTCTTGAAGGTTTATTTCCTCAGGGCCTAACAAAAATATCAGAGGGAAAATGATTTTTAGTTTAGTTAATTTTATAGTGAAACAATGCAGAAAATTGTATGATTCTCATCGATTATAATCCATCACTGATTGTTCAAAACCTTATTTATTAAGCAGCATAAAAATCGATTCTGCAAACTGTTCAGTCATGCAGTTATCACTGAACAATCTGATTATTTATGTTGATCAATTACTGATTTAATCTCAGCCCATTCTCATGTCACTTAACAATTACTTAAGATAGTACTAATCCTGGGTCAAATCCAAACAGACCATTATGAGTTGTCACAGAGGTAATTAATAATTAACCCTTAATTAATTTTGCACTAATTAATATTTGTACACCTTGGCCCTAAGCTACATGTATACCCCTGTGATTGGTTAAAAATCATGCACCAAAGCTGTCTTCACCAATCAGAAGTACTGGGTAATACTCTAGTTGACTAGCTCATGTATTTTCCTGCACATATTAATAAGTTACCAGTTTACACCGGTATCATATTTTGCTTGAACAATAAATAAATAGACCCTAGCGTTCATTATTTTATAAACAAAAAATGGCTATAATTTCTATCACTTGTGTAAAGCTAACTATATAGAAAAAAATATCTGTTTGGTGTTGGCCATGGAACAGATTAATGATGAGAGAAAAAACATCACAAAAATTTAAATTAAGTCAGGCCAACATAATTATCATTGACAAGCTCAAGGGCCTGATTCCAAGGAGGAACGATAGCCTAGTACTAGGGTTATCCTACCAAGAGGGTTACTCTGACTAACACTTACACATTTCTTCTTACTTATTTTTATTGGAAATGATGTTTAGAAGGCAGTGAAGATTTCCCTGGCATTAGGGTTACCCTTGCTAAGTGCTAGGATGAGGGGAAAAGAAAACATGCTCACTATTTTTTTCAAAATATCATTTTATTTTTGGAATACCAGTTGATCGAGTGCCTCTGCAGTGAAGAGAAGTTTTGGGTTGAAATGGGGTAGGAGATTCAAGGGACATGGCTGCACAGCCACAACCAAATGTCCCTAAAGTATCCTACCAAGATTATAACGAATATGGACATTGAAATCAGAAACTCACGTTTTTCTAAAGACGCAAACCCCTGAAGATTTAAAATCTGGGGACTGGCATGTCTGTTTTGCAGTACCCCTCCCCCTCAGATAAACACAAATCAAGCCAGTCCCCAAATAATAACATCCTAGTCTTGTGATGAAGAACGTGTAAAACTTTCGCTGAAATCAGACTGAAATCTTACTTTGAATTTGTAATAAAATGGGCTAAATTTTACAAAAATAAGCCACAGAAAAGCTCAAAGGTCGATTTTATCCTGGAGTGTGATTTTTAATAGTGATCCGCACGGGAGAACTCTGCGTGACTCCCGGTAATCCGCTGGCATAACTGTACTTTTGACTCCCGCTAACTCGAACCCGCGCTAACTCGAACCTCACGCTAACTCGAACCAAAGTCGATTTCCCCTGGTTTTCCGTTTTACATTTACTGTAATTTTACCCTCGGCAACTCGAACCCTCGATAACTCGAACCTCCCGCTAACTCGAAGTAATTTTTGTTTCCCTTCAGCTCATTTCTGTACAATTTTACCCTCGATAACTCGAACCATGTTATAAGCGCGTGACAATTAAGTCGGGAAAAAAACCGTGTACTGAAGTCCGAAACATTGAATTTATTTCAAAAAAACAGAGTAAATTCTTTTCTTTTTTGTCACTCCAGTTCAAATTCAGTGTCCATCCCTGTATACTTTTTTGTTTAATTGCCTTTCCTTCCCATCCATTTGCCTATTTCCTTACTTCCGGTTATTTGCTTCGAACTCCCGAGAACTTGAACTTTTTTCGATTTCCCTTGAAGGTTCGAGACATCGGGAGTCGACTGTAGGTAAAACTTTATATAAGCCTAAGGTTAAAAACAAAAATTTAGACTCATGCCAACACTCGCGAGTAAAAACAAGGATCAAAGCCGACAAAATAGAGCGTAGAAAAAATCATCGCTAGTTTTGGGCAGAGTGTGATAAACACTGGCCTGAAACATGAAAAATTTGCCAGTAAGCTTAATAAAGTAGAAATGTGCGGGGTCACTCGAGTAGCTGCAGATCACCCCCCAATGCTGAAAAGGCGTATAGAACCCAGAAGACGAAAATCACTCTTACCTTAATACGAGAAGAAGTCAGGAAGCATAAAGGCAACCATGTTCCGCCACGTTTATTTGGGAGACCGCTGCATGTCCGGCGTTGGTTGCAACCGTAAAGTCAACCATTGGACTGCGGACTTTGAATTGTGGATCTCGTACAGGTTGTGCCAACTGGAAATACTTGAATGTGTTATCGAAGCATGATGATAAGATAGCGTTTAGCGTATTTGTCTCGGTCCCAAAAATCAAAAAAAGAAAAATGAATAAATAAATAAAAAACGGAAAAAAACAATTCCAAGGTTCTGGATTTCCGATTCTACAAGCAAAATCTTCCCGGATTCTGGATTCCACACCGGCCGATTTCCGATTTCAGGCGATTCGACATTTGCACATCTCCCATAACCCTAACCAGGAGCCCATCAAATGGAGCCTCCATCTCCCATACAAGCCTTTGGAGTCAACCCTTTCCTGAGTAGATTTATAAATAGAACGGTTCCCTGAGGAGGTTTCGCGCGCTGATAGAGTGAAGAGCCAATGAACTGACAGAGAAATGACAGTAGTATTGTCTTACGGCAAATAAGTAATGGCGGACAGCAGGGAAGGGGTTTGTGACTCGTCAGACGAAAGTTCTCATACGATTCAAGACTCGACGAGCGAATATTCCACATCCTCTGAAAGCGAAACTGACGAGGAGGATTTGACCGAAGTAAACGACATCTTCCGGCGGCCGTAAAAGATCAAAACCTGCAGAGGGAAAGGCGGCTGCGAAGACCACGCGGCCGCAAAAAAAAAAGAAAAGTAACCGCACTGGACAGCAAAGAGATAGAGGATCTTGCCTCTTGGATTTTTTCTTCAGATGAAGCAAAGAAAGTGGAACAACATATAAGATCGTCTTTGCTAAATGATCCTCGCGTCGAGTCTCGATCAGATCGCAAGCAATTTGCCAAACATTTGTTATGCGCCCCTGAAGGGTCAAACTTTGAACTGTTGGTGACAGGGTTTTGTCGAAGGTTTTCAACCTTGGCACAGGAATCTTTCGCAAGTAATCTCCAGAGTTACAGAAAAGCGGCTTTTTCGGTTGCCTGGATGAAACCGTTGACCAATTTTCAGCCTGGAAAGATAACTCAGGAGAGAATGATAGTTGAACGGCTTTTGCGAAAAGCACCACCTACTATATTTTCTGCAGACTGCGTTCATTCGGTCCGAAGCGTTGTCCACGAAGCTTTCTACGGTATGATTCATGAACACATTCGTTTAAAGAAAGCGGAAAACGAGGCTGATGAAGACTCTGCAGGTCAGAGGCGCCGCGAGTTGCCAGAAGAGTCCGATGACACTTTGTTTAGGTACTGTGGAGCCGCTCTTCAAAGAATGATAAAGCTGAGGACAGAAACACTCGCAGGGAAACAAGGACGGGGAGAATTGTCAAAGGAGAGAAAGCCAGTATTGGAAAAGGAGCTGGAAATTCTACGTGAACTCGTTATGAAGGACAAGTCGGATATTTCCAATAGCCTGAAAAATTTAGACGAAGGAAATTTTACATTCCCCAGGGCTAAACTTATTCCTTTCTTAAGATCTCTGGACAGAGAAGTTCGCGAATACGCAACAGACTCAAACCTTAAAAAATCTCCGTCGAAGTTTCTGAAGACGTGTCAGAATGCTGTGTTAAATAATGAAAACCTTGAAGCGGATTTCCGCGTACTTGTTGCATCTCTTTTCAACTCAGAGTGTGCTACCGATGTGGAACTTGTGAATGGTCTTTTTCACGGTGTGATATCAAAACTGGCGAACACTCGTATCAATGAGTTTATGAATGCAAGAATAGAGAGGGATCTTAAAGTTCAGGGTAAAGTGGTAGATGGACTCCTGCCCTAACCCTAAAACAGCATTCTTTACAAAAAAAGATAGACCCAGACCCCGGTTCCGGTTCCCCCCACGACCCCGACCCCGCGTTTCACTGACACCCCCCTAAACGTACCCTAACCCTAACTCTAAAACAGCATTCTTTTATCAAAGTGCCCGACCCCGCGTTTACTCCCCCCCCCCCGGGGGGGGGAGGGGCGGTACTGCCATATATGGGCTATATAGGTATGAGCCGCTGTGAAAGTTTTCAGCCGGTTTGCTCTGGGATAGGGTATATAAATCAGAGAGTTTGGGTTTGGTCAGGGTGTCATTTTCCAGGAAACTGGTCAATTGGTTGAAGATTTTAGTCCAGACTAGGGAAACCGGGATTTGCCACTCAAAAATATATAAAAAAAATCAGATGGGTATTGATTTAGCTAGACTGTGCTAGTGACCTCAGTAGTTTCTCGAAAACAACGGCTCTAAGATAGGGTGAATGTGAGGAGTTTAGTCTAATATAGGGTAGCAAAATTCACTTAGGTGGCTTACTACAGTTTTCGGATGAAAACTATCGACTTTTTCAAATTGGAACATTTTTAGCAACTGAGGGTCTCTACTGAGCTGTTTTAAAATCACTGCAATTGATTTAAATTATCATTTTACCTCCTAAAAACATTTTATTGCTCAGTATAACGCGAAATATAGTGACGGACGTCCAAAAAGGGCGCTTTTTACTGGAAAAACCTTTCAGTATTGAAAAACACTGGTCTTAACAAGATTTCCATTGTAGCTAATAATATACAAGCATCGTAAAATACCTAGTCAGGAGCCCATCATTTGATTGGCTCTTGGTAACTGTTTTTGTTCATTTTATACACGATGCATGGCAATCCTTTCTTGGCGTAGGTGATATAAACAGGCTTCTTATCATAAGGGCTTCACTGGTCTTTCGAGAGAAGCGACCATGTACTGTACTATTTATTATATAAACACCAACCAATGATAATTTTTTGGCTGCGAAACGCGCGAAGCTCACATGGTACTTGTCTTTTAATAAATAAGAATAGCCACCGGCAAATTAAGTTGATTCAATTTTGACTAAGTTGACTTTCTAACTGGCAGTTTTTTCCAAATTATGGGCTAGAAAGTGGTGGGAAACCTAATTCTTAGAATCGGTTAAGGCAGACAATTTTCTTCTTTTTAATAAATAGTCTAATACAGTTGCTAATAGTCGAGTTGTCGAGCTTGTAACACTTATTTACATGGCTTTATTTAATGTCACAGCGGAACCTCGATATAACGAAGGGGTATACGGACTGGCGAAATGTGTTCGCTATGACGAGAATTCGTTATATCGAGGTTCTTTTTTTATATATTTTACTATTACTGGGGTAAAAAAAAAGCTTTCGTTTAACCGAGGACTTCGTTATATATAGGTTTGTTATATCGAGGCGCCACCGTGTAATTCAGTACACTCTCTACTTGTATAAGTGGTATAGTTGATTGACGCTATGCGAGCACTCAGCTACAGCAAATATACAATCATCAGTCTCCGGATCATCGTTTATTGGCCGAAACAAGAGAGTATATCATTTATATTGGGGTTTTTAACAAAGAAAAACTTATGCTTTATGTTTTCACATCTTAAGGTCCTTAGTGTCCACAACGTGTCTAATTCTTTTCGTAAAACTTCTTAAGTTCCTCGCTCTGAGACCAGTTCTCCATTTTAAGTTCTTTAGCCATGTCAAAAACATTCTTGGCAATTTTCTTCGCTTCACGGAATTCAAGTGGATAATCTCTGTACAGAATTAGTGCCAAATTAGTGTTGATCTCAACTTTCCACTTGTGATTTCCCTCGATAGTGTTCTCAGCAACTTCACTCCCCATCTCAAATTTTCTTCGAGCTTGGTCATACTTTCTACACTTTACATAACATCTTCCAAAGTTTTTAAGGGTTGGAACTGCCTCTTTTTGTTTCATCATTCCCATATCTTCAAAAATTTGAACTGCTGCCTCGTAGTTTTTTTCTGCTTCACCGAAATCTTTGGTAGACATATAGAAACCAGCCATGTCTTTGTGTGCAAGTGCAGTAAGAACGTGCACTCCAAAACGGGACTGACGAAAGTGTAGGGCTCTTTGGAAGTAGGCTTGAGCCTTCTGGCCTCTTTTTTCCCCAAGCCGTGCATTGTGTCCCATCTGACAGAGCACTCTGCCTCTATCAAATGTAGAGGCGTGTTGAACAACCTCATTTTCAACAATGGAGATCACCTTTTGTAAGAGAGGTTGTGCTCGAACTCTTTCTTGTAACTCCTGTGATATATATCTTCCATAATGGCTCAAATAAAACGCTTCAGACATGCTGTTCTGTTCAAAAGCAAGCAGATTACTGTCATGCAATTTGATGGCTTGATCAATGAGCTCTTCTGATTTCTCCATGTCCCCACCGTGTCTCCTTGATTCGTCATACAGGAGACACAAAATTTCTACTTGTTTACATACATTTTCTTGACTACGAGAAAACTGAAGCAGGCCATGAAGAAAGTCATCATAAAGCTTAAAAGGCACGCAATCTTCAATGTATGGTGCTAACTGACTACAAGAATCCAGTACATCTTCAAGTTCCTTGCAATTTTGGACTTTCGTTGGACCACCAGCTACTTCTCTTAAAGTGTATTCCAGATTAACTCTTTCCTCATTGAATAGCATCAAAGATTCTTTACATGTGTTCTCTCCCCAATATTTCCGTGCGTTTCTCGAAACCAGTGATAAAAAGTGTCTGAGGTAATACTGTTTGCCATCCTTTAGAATTTGGCCAAATTCATCTCTTTGTACGCCGATCTGCTTTGCATAACTTCTGATCAATAGGTGAATTAGATAACGGTCATCTTGCTTCTGGATCAAACACCTATTCTTTAAATTTGTTAAAGCTTCAGCACAGTTAGCACCGAGTATTGCTTCTGCTGCATCTCTTTTGAAAGACTGGGGAAATACTGACAAATACACCAACGAACGTTTCAAAGACTCGTCCAGCTTTTCAAAAGCTATTTCCATCATTGGCATAATGCCAAGAGTTCTTGTTGGGTTCTGCTCAAGCTTTTGTTGAAGTCCTTCAAAAGTGTATTCAGATTCCTCTGCAAGGAGAGGGCCAGCAAGTCGAAGTGCAAGGGGATTTTTCTCACAAAGTTCAGCTATTTTGCGCAACTTTACTTGAGTGTCAGCACCAGTATCAGACGTCAAATTAGCTGCATTCTTAAGAACTTCTATGCTTTCCTCAACACCCAAAGGACCCAGCGCTATTTTAAGGAGTGGGATTTCTGAAACCATTCCGGCAGTTTCAATGTCTGAACTCGAGGTTATCAGGAACTTTATTTTACAATCTGAACGCATCCTCATTTCACTCAATAACTTCAAAAAATGGTACTTATGTGGACCCTCTATGGCATCTTCCACGCTATCAACAATAAGTATCAATTCATTTTCAAGCTGCCTGCACCAGTTGAGCAAAACATGCCTTGGATACTCACTGACTTGTTGATCGCCACACACATTCAGAATTTCTCGCACCACGCCGTCATCTTCACTTCCCCCTTTGTATGAGCCTCTCAAAGAACAAAACTTCACGATGGCTTTAAACTCGTTCTTTAGCCGATACCCAGCTTGAATAGCAACCGTAGACTTTCCCACTCCAGCGGTTCCACTGACAAGGACGCCTGCTACATTTTCCCCACTTTTCCCCAAGAGGGTTTTAATAATGTTCTCAATCTCCTTTGTGCGGCCATAAATATTTGGCTCTTTTTCCGGTAACTCACTTCTGGTTATGCTCTTCTTCGTTTCTTCTGAGAAAGAAGCAAAAAACTAAGTCACAAAGATCGTGTGAATATACTACACACCAACCTCATTGGAGAGACAAAAATTGTGTTTGCAGTGAAGTCTTGGAATTTGCCTGCATTTTGCCACGTGGTATTGATGGGACCTAGAAGGCTGAGAAGCCTAAGTCCCACAGGTAGTGACTCAGGTTTATACAAAACAAATTGGTCGTTTGACTACAAGTGCTTTTATGTTCATGACCGAAATGTCTCATAATTGTTGTTGCTTTTTTAACAAAATTAAGGGAAAAAACTAACCAACATAATTTCTGCATTTTCAGGGAAAATATTGGTATCTTAATTCAGGAAAACAAGCATACTTTGGAATGTTATATTATACTTTGATGAACACAATCTATTAAAGCCTACCCATACCTAGACACTAAGTCATAGTGGTCTCACCCAAAAACAACCACTGTATTATTTTATTGACTTCTGTTACCGGATACTTTCTGTCCTCAAGGGTGTCAGTAAACGGGAGTTTGACCATAAACCAGCAACATGCGCAACAGAATTAGGGCTCCCTTTCTATTCCAGTGTTTGTTCCACTTACCTGACGTTAGCTGCAATTGCTTCTCAATATTATGTACTGATGCCTTAAGTTCTTCTAGCTGGTCTTTTATGTTATCGTCGTCCAACTTCCACTGATTTAGAAGCTGTTCGTAGTGTTCTTCCATCTCAGGGTCCAAGCAATCATACCTTAGTGCATCAATAGCCGCTTCATAAGCTGCTCCTCCTAGTCTTACTAGGGTATCGCGGATATTCTTCCAGTAATTTTCAAATGTAACATCGTCAATCGACGTCTGAGTTGCGTGGGCATACACTGTATTTCTGTACACTTTGATGCGAGCGATATCAGCCTCACAAGACAAATCTGTGGGCGGTGGAAACTTATCCCACCCAGTGGCTGGAGGAGTCAGGCCACAAATACTTCTCAGTAGGACCATCAGCAAAGTAATGTCAAATTTCTCAGACGATACTGAAGATCTGATTGCAGGATACAGCTTGCCCCATTGCAAAGGATTTAAGATTTTCTTGCGTCGAAGTGACTGCAAGGTAGCAGTTATCGAAGGGGATCCCAAAACAGTGTCAAGGCCTCCGGGCGGACGGATTTTGTCGAACGTTACTCTCAGTACATGAGAACCAACATCCACCAGAAGGCGGCATACTCTGGCATAGTTAGTGTTCTCCTTTGTGGAAGGAAGCATCGGAGCTGCAGATGCCATGGAAGCATAGAAAGTTTCTCCTACAATGAAAGTTTGAGAAAATGAACGAGAAAGTACAAACATGAACCCTTACTTAAGAGCACACTTTGAAAGACGAGCTGGATTTCCATTAGCCACCGTCTGCCACCCAGAGAAGGAACTATCGAACGATCTGTCAAAATGAACTCCAAAGACAGAATTGATCAGAATTCTCAAGGCTACGCTCGAACACTAGAGAGCTAAGCAACAACGACGGCAACGGCAGCGAAAACGTCACCCAAAAAGTGAATTTGCACTGTTTCAAACTTCATCGCTCTTATTCAAACTATTTTAATTTGTCAAATGTTGGTGATATTTTAAGGAGTTGAATTCTGAAGGACTGTATCTACGTTCACAAAAGGAATAATAAAATGGTTGTCTTGTGTTCACTTCCTCCATATAACGTGAAATTAGGAAGTTTTACGTCGAAGCTATAGTCGTGCAGTGAGGGCAAAGAAATACACAAAAAAGCGTGATGCACGTTCAAAGTTGTGGTTTTGCCAATCTAACCCTATTGCTTTTTGCCATTCTTGTTATCGTCGCCGTCGTCGTTGCTTAAGCTCCCTTTAATAGCAGCAAGGCGACCTTTGATTTCAGAGGAATTAGTCTTGCGGCATGGTGACTACACATACACGGAGAGTCTTAACACCTAAGATGAGAGAACAACTTTAAAAGTCACACTCTCGTATGGGGGCATCATTACTCATTTCTTAATTACTTGTAAACTGCAGCTAAGCAGTCTGGCAAAGTCCCCCAACCGGTGTTGTAAATTATCCCTGAAAAGCCCTGAGGGAATGGATAATAAGATATTTACAATTAACAATTTACAAAAGTCAAGACGTTCAAGAGAATTAGAAACAATTAATTTAAGTTCGACTGGACAAGAAATAGTACACTACCAACTACCTATATGTACTTGTTGTAATATTTGAACCTGTGGGAACGCCGTTTAGGCAAAGGGGAGCCTGCTTTTTTTTCATGGGCGCCCCATGTGCGTTCTGTTTTTTGGCTTTCATATGGTGACATACCGTAAAATTCCTAAGGCTCTTTTTGAGGGGCTTAGTTTTGGAGGGGCTTATATTCGGAGGTAGGCCTTGGCGGATTGTGCTCCCAAAAGTGGCATATTATGCTACTAGCAGTGCTCGAAATTTTGCCAAATTATGCCAATATTATGCCAGACAGCCCAAATTATGCTCCTGATTTCCGAAATTATGCTCACAAAATGAGGTAGATTCTGTACATATAGGCGCGCAATAACGACACCAAATTATGATGTTTTTCAAATAAACTGTTGTTGTAATTTTATTTGTGTTTTATGGCAGTTGGACTCGGCTCTCAGCTGTCCAAATTAGCTGCTCGCATCTCTGAACCGTTTGTAAAATGCCTTCAACGACTTAACGATCACACTTGTATATACTGACTGAACCAAAAGAATATCGTACTCTCTTGATTTAAACTAACTCAAACTATAGCAAACTACAACGTTGAAAGTATCAAGCCACGAAGGAAATCAACTAGTCTTGACAGTTCTGAGTTCTTTCAACACCAATAATTGCTTGAATAAACATGGATAAGAATAGTATACACAATTCTGGCCTTACTTGATTGCTTTCAGAAGCTGTATCTCGAAGGGTAAGCCTGAGTATTGTATTTGTGTTTGTTTTTTTGTTTATTTCTAATTTCATGAAGTCGAGCCCAGTTTTCTGAGGTTAGTTTATGCACGTTTGCATTAAGATTTGAGACATCAGGGCCATTTATACGAGGAAAAAAAAGACGCGTCTTAAATAAGACGCGAACTGTACCATTTATACTAGCATGTCTTATCTAAGACGAGAACAGCTCGTATAAATGGTTCACGTCTTATTTCTGTATCTTGACTCGTTTTCATGTGAATGTTGCCCGTAGCAACGGCAATCCAACGTGGCGCGCCAAAAATTAACGCATGCGTACTATGCGTTCGTGTCTTATGTAAGACGCGAAGGTCATTTATACGAAGTTTTTCTCGTCTTAGCTAAGACGCGTCTTATCTATAAGAACAGCTGTTAAGGGCTGTTCTAAAATAAGACGCGTCTTAGCTAAGTCGCGTCTTATTTTAGACGAAATGTGCCGTTCATACGGAAAGTTCGCGTCTTATTTAAGACGCGTCTTATGTAAGACATAATTTTTCCTCGTATAAATGGCCCTAATGATCTGACCTAGTATGAGGTTTGATATAAGTTACAGAACTTTAAAAAGCCTTCAGTCGATATTTTCTCGCCGCAAATAGAAAGAAAAAACGTTCCGAGGAGTATTTAGTTATAATTTTGGCTGTAGAAAGAAAGCTTTGAGCGCTTTTCTTGCCTCGAGTTCATCTTTGAAAACAGTAAACACAGGGAAGGCCGCTTAAAACATAGTTAATAAGCCTTAAGCTTAAAGACTCAGGGGACACTTTAATACTTGTCTTCGTGAATGAAAATTGTTGTCTCTGTAAATGTTTCTCCGAATTATATACATTCCTTTTATTGATTGTTAGTAGTTTCTTGCAAGTTTCATCGCTTTGCCGTTTGTTTTCAGTCTTTCATAAACATCGCTTGCAGGAGGACTGAAAATGCCGCGCATATCAAACGCTTGATTACACATTGTTATAAAACAATTAAATAAAAAATAAACACACTAAATTCTCTTTAATGTTGAAGCGTAACTCTTTTAAAGTGTACTGCAAATTTGACGCTTGTCAAAAGTGAGAACCGGCTGGCTGTATAGGTGATTTTGGAAATTTTTTGAACGGTTTCGCTAACAGCCCACGCATGCTTCGATGGTTCAGTGGTTCTGAACATTGAATGAGTGCAATTTGTCTTGAAAAATTGTGAAATACTGCATTTTGCCTGAGGTCTGTATGATAAAAACAGCGCCTCATAGTACTGTTTCACCTCAGATGTGATGTATAAAAAGTATAAAAGGTTGTTTTACACGCACCCAGATTTGTTGGCGAGATTTGGTAAAGTAAACTTGTCGAACGCAAAAAATTCGGCCTGATTTGTTTTCCAGGCCTAATCTACTGTGATCAAGAGTCATTTCGACTCTTAAATGTGATCAAAGATGATTGCTATTTTTTGGGTGTACATATAAGGCTATCAACTTGATGTAAGATTTTTTTTCACTCTAAAATCACTTATCCTTAGCTTTCCCTCAAAAGTCACATATGTGATTAAGTTAACTGATTTGTGGATTACAAGTTTATTTTTTTATTAATGGGAGCTTCGCTTTTAGCCCTGGCTAAATCTATATATTATACACGACACTATTTCAATCCTGACCACCCCAAATGCAATGTAATTTTGCAGGGTTGTATATAAAGCAAGAAGGTGCCACTTTCCAGCCTTAAGTCTATTATAAAATATATTATTCCATATGCGTTAAATTATAGCGGAGCTCCGTTGAGCCCTATAGCCCATTGCTATAAATTGGAAACCCATGGATTCCGGTAAATTTGGTTATGACGGCAACGTACACCGCACGCTCGTCGGTGCATCCCTAGCCTGCGTAGCTGGCGGTATTGTGTAGTAGTCGAGTGAGATTTGGCGGTGGAGCCGTTGTAATATATTCGAGTGAGATTTGACCGCCTCGTCCCTACTCCCTCTTTTTGGAACGCGGCTCCGCCGCCAAAACTTTAATCTCGCACCCACACAATACCGCCAGCTACGCAGGCTAGTGCATCCCACACATGTAAGCCGGGTTAAGTCCCATTTGCTTCTTTTGTGGAACGGTATCTGATTGACAACTTCCTAGCGATAACAGGGGCTAACGTAGAAACAAGGTTCATTGGCGGATCTCGGTAGATCAACAGTAGATGATAAAACAATATTGATTGTACAGCTTAGAGAATTTTGCATTTTTCCAACACTTCGTTAGACATCAGGCTTGCTTTCCTCACCGGAAAAATAACTGCTTATAGAAAAATTCTTATTTCGTTACAATTTATAGCAGCAAGAAAGAACACGTTACAACATAACACTTGACCTAACAACACAGTGTTATCATCGATCAGAAACCAAAAAATATAAGATAGCAAGATCAGTGGAATCAAAATATGTTGTCTTACTTCGACTTTCATATGCTTGACTAGTTGTGCAAATCATGTTGCTATTATTATATTTAACAAACTAAAATTCTGTAAAAATGAAGGGTTAGTCTCTCGGAGGCGGTCGTAGACAAGGAATTAAAGTCGCAGTGTTTATTACCTAAAAATAATTTGATGATATCGTCTTTAGCGTTGCTTCGTTTATTTTTTATCGCCTTTTACAAGAACTTTCTAGGCGTTAAACAAATATCCATCGGTGTGATTATTAGCATAATACTATGTGGTTAGATTTGGAGTCAATAAAACGGGTGCATGCTTGGCAAAGTTAGCCTTCAGTTCTCTAAGTTTCTTAGGGACCTTTCACGGGAGTTTCACGCCATGGCGAAGTGCGTGGGGAAGGAAGCTAGAACTGTAGCGGCTCTAGAATTCGTAGATCGATTTGAGGCCTAGAGCGAAGAATTGCTTCGACAGCAAGTTATTTGCAGCATCATGCCAATACGAAGGTATCCAGAAAAATTACAGATCGTGAGAAATCGGAGTACTATGCGGGGGATGTTGGATGAGATCTTTTCGTGCAGCTACGTAACTTTGTCTATATTAGAGTTTATATGAATTGAGCCCGGTACGAACTTCGTACCTTTGGGAAATATCAGTTTTGTATATCCGAGTGGAACAAGGAGTAAATATGACAACTACTTCAGCACTGGGAGACTGTAAATGTGGTCCCGTTTCGTTTGACCTGCAGTTGTCAGAAATCATGCGAAACTCTATAAAGTTTTCCAAGTCTATAGCTATGTACTATGTACTTACTATGTAATGTTCTAAAACTCCTAACATCAGCCTTAGCCAAGAAATTTTTAACCAAAAAGCGGTAACCTGGTGGAAGAGGTGTCACAGTTCATTCAGACACCTTACATCACAG